GTATCGATCTCAATGAGCCCCTAAACGACCCCTGAAGGGCTACAGAGAGAGAGAAAAATGGCCTTGGCAGAACACAATGGAGCGTTTCTTCCCTAATCTATTCATGCCCTCCCTTCTGCGACTTCGATTTGCTGTCTACGTATATACCGGGTGTCCCAGTATACCTGTTTCCTTGAATATCTCATTCATTTTCGATTTAACCGGAAGTCGCTCTAGCTTTCTTATTTCAAATAGCAATTTGTGAATTTTTTCACTTTTTGAATATTACACAAAATTAACGTTTTCAACGATGTATAATACTTTGTATTTCAAAATACAAAATGATCGAACAACTACACTTGAAATTTAATATGCGTTTCAGTTCAGTAGGATAAAACCTAGCAATATCACCCTTCAATAGTGTTAGGAGTAGGTAAATGACGAGGTGACTTATTATGGCAGATTTTGAATTATTCAAATCGGACTGTTTTTTGATTTTATTTTTCATTCCTAATCTTCACACTAATTTTTTCAATTTCATTATTTTTCTTTTTTTTTTCAATGGTGTCAAGGTCTTAAGGTGTCAAAATCACAAATGAAATTTGCCACTCATAGCTACTGATGTCACGACTCAGTGAGTGAAATACATAGTTGTCATGTGTCAAAGGGCATCCGGAAATGAGAGAAATTATATCAGCTCTATCATTACTAACGCTTTTTTATGTAAATAATAAGACTATGCGTTTCTCAAAATCGTGGAATTTCAGAGCTGATTTCAAACGTAACGTCATGGCTGCCATTTGGCGATACGTCGAATAAATTGTGACTACAGTTTTTATGCTGTTTCGTTATTGGTCAGATAATCTTCCATTTCCACTCGTAAAGCAAGGTTGTCAAGGCACCAATTATAATCAAGTTATCAAAAAGATGTTTGAGTCCTGTCGTTGAATAAAACATAATAGAAGGAACTCATGACATTATAGTTCATTCTTGAATTTTTCGAGCAAGCAGCATGTCCATATATATCTTATTCTCCACAACAAAATATCATGTGAATGTTGGAGACTTGGCAACATTGTGCTGAATGCTGAGAACTGACAAGACCACGCCCACAAGTCGTACGCGGGGTTGTCACGTTCACCGATTCAAATGTCCTCTAGTGTGAATTAACATTTTGAGACAATTGAATTTTCAACATGGCAACTGATGTGCTATGGTCTGCCCCTACTCACGAAATCGTGGCGTCAGGTACTACTGGCGGTAAATTACTAGCCGTTTGAAAATCATCGTGGCATTAAAATCGACCGAAAAATGTTGAAGAAATATGAAATTGAAAGGTATTTGAGTAATGATTCCATTTAACAAATATAAAAAAATTAGAACACTCGCCTATTGGAACATAAGGAGATTGTCCACTGCCGAGCAGGTATACTGGGACACCCGGTATACAATAAACGTGATTCACCGTGCGCCTGGTCCTGGTAATAATGCGACGTTATAAACTTGTACGCACACAGAGTATTACGCACGGCGACATTTGAAACCGCGTAAAAGAGATAAAAGACTAAAAGAGTGACTAATCTTCGTTCACATCGGATCGATGAAAGGAAATTATTGACGTTTTGATTTCACTTCCACTTGTGGAGTTCAAACATTGAACATAGAGAACGTCAACAGAAGGTTAAAAGAGGATTTAATGATTCTATCACTATAGTACACCGAGAAAAATACAGTTTAACTAGTCTCTAGGTATTCAAAAACATCTTGTAACTGCTAAATTACATATTTCAACCACGACATGTCATCTGATGAACGTGAAAAGTCAACGTTTTCAACGTGATACAGGTCACCTTATAGTTTAGAAATGGAACAAGTTTATATAGTAAAAAGATGGAATTTAAATGATGTAATTTCACAGTTATACAAGTATCATTCAAGTTCCATCCCTTCTTCGTTTGCCATCTTTGGCGGGTGGGTACTTAATTTTAGTTAATTTTTCGGAATGTGAGTTGAGTTCTGGTGGCGTTTGGCGTTGATTTCAGGTTGTTCATTATTCGACATTGTTCGTTGTCCTTCAGACATCCATGATTCAATATCAGCTGTCATTTGTTTATCGCGTGAACACTCTATAGAGAAGGTCCTGGTGATCGTTACACGTTATTGAAAAACAAGGTAAGTGATAAGCAGGTCCCACTATAGGAAATAACAAAATGTACAAATTCAGTCTCACGGAGTTAGTTAGCATTGTTTGTCCTCTTTTCTTCGAGATTCCCAAGGTAAATATTTGAATGGAAGCAAACGTACTGGAAAAATTGGGTATTACATTCCAAATAATTATCCGAAAGTGCCGTGGGAATTATATGTAAATAAGGAGACGCATGACAAGGTATAAGGTATAGCAAGACGTAACAGCTATGAAAAAAAAAACGCACAGGTAGATGTTATGGATATCATTTTATTCAAAACAAGGGGTAGCATTTTTTTGGTTACTCTAGTCATGGGAATGAACTTTCTCCTTTGTATGAACAGGTCTGAATAATTGTAAATGATGTATATAAGATGAAAAAAATATTGAATTCATATAGCTTTCATCAACATCATGACTGTGTCATGAATAATAAGGTAGGCGATGTCATAAGTTTTCACCGACTTCTGTAACTCGCTATGATAAAATTCGTCACCGATACCGTCAGCATAAAAGTAGTTTACTTATCTAGAAAAATATCATCTATTAATAGAAACATGAACAAGTATGACAAATAAAAGATTAGTCAATTTATGTCATCATCCACTTTTTTCGATCGAATATTATCTCAGTTGGAAGTAGCCATTTTGTAAAAGAAAAATAAACTCCTATCAACTCAAACAAGTGAAGAGAGTAGGTAGAGAATTTTATTTGAAAAAAAAATTCGTCATTCCTGATGAATGGTTGTCGAGTAATGCACAATTTTGTTGCAACAAAGGTAAATGTCGATTTATACCTCCAGAGGTCGAAAGATTGTCTCAAGGATGATAGACCCCAATTAAAGCAGGCTGTATAGCACAGTTCTTGTAGCTGCATTATAGTATAAGATATTTCTCTTACAGATTTCTTTTGAAAGTAAAATTATTTCATTGCAGTAACTCTTTTGGACAATCTACCCGATTACTATATTTACTTTCTTATTCAAGTTAATTTTATGTAGAATTATAAGTAGGAATTATCAGAAATTCTATAAAATATAAGTGATAGATTTTTCCAATTTTTAGTACCTACTGATGTAAATCGTTTCATTGATGCCTACAGGAAGGTTGTATATGTATATAAAATCAATTTTTGTAGAAAATAAGGGGGTTAATTTCCCTCCGTGTCCACTCTTGTTGACGCCTATATTGTTTATTGAAGTAATTCTGTTAGAAAAATAAACCATAAATTACTCTTCTTGTTTATATCAATGCAGATGTATATCTATGTAGATTTAAGTATTTATGTTTAAGTACATATAGGTACTTAGAACGTATTCACAAACTACCTACCTATACATATACCTACCCGTATACCGAAAACCATGATCTACCTCAAGAAAAAATCTAAATCTACCCGGCAGTGTAATCCCAACAATAAAAAACCAAGTGGCGTCACGAGACGAAAAACATTCCATTGTCACATGCCCTTGCCTAATTTTCCCAGCTGACGTCACTGCCATATATATAATATTATACAGAGCAATCGTCCAAAGCATAAACATAACCTTTGCAGCCATCAAACAAAGCTCACAGTCGGTGTTGCCAACTTTTCAAGAATTTCTTGAAAAATCCGAGTTCAAAAGACGTTGGGGCGTTGAGGTTATTCAAAGGTGTGACAATAAATTACTAAGTGAAATTTTTCGAAAACCCTATAGCAATTAAAATACCTACTCATTTTATTATGTTTTTGTAGCTATAGCTATCAGATAATTCTTATCTCTGATATAGGTATAATTTGATGGCCTACGTGACATTTGATAAACAAAAAAATCAGTTTTCTTCAGAAGGGTACTTATACCTAGAAAAAGATTCCAAATAATTTCCATTCGATCAACAGTTATTGTTTTGAACTTATGAAAGAACAATTCGTTTGAGTTGGCAACACCGTAAATTTTCATAGTAGGAGGAGGACGCGGTGTCACATCGTCGGGACATTACCGCGTGACGTCACGGCCATCCCAAGAAATGGGTTCAAGGCTGCCAGTTAAGCCTGAACAAACAGGAAATCCCCGAACCTAGCCAGCGAATCCAGCGGTATGTGAACTTTGTTCGCCTCACCATCACCTTGTTGATCCGTGCAAAGTGATCGTCATCGACCAAAACTAAACGGCCAAAATACGACAATAAACGTTAATTCCTCAATTTAGCCATTCGTCTGAATAATTCAACTCCCAGGTACCCGATTTTTTACAGTTCCAGATACCTAGATACCTAGCTACAAATCGGGAAGTTGATATCGTTCAAATTTCAAGGGAATCAACCAAACAAAGACATGATGCATTGATCTGCATCTGAAGTCATCGATATGAGTAATACCTCTTGATATGTCCTTGGTTGCCACATCACTATTTAGTCATTTCTAAATTACCTACTTGTCATCGCTTTCCGAATATCAACGATGATTAATTAATTAAGATCGCTTGCCTAATATGGGAGGGACCTACCTACCTTATCCACAAAGGTTTTCGACATGACTTTGAAACGGCGTTCGAATAAATTTTTGAGGCATCTATTCAAAGAGAATGATTATTGTAAACACCTATGTAAAATGATTTTTATTGAAGCTGGTTTTAGAATTTTCCAAAGCGAATTGAGCAAACAAACTATATTCAAGTAGGTGGGGTTTTCCTTATTTTTGACATCAATTGAGATAAATTCGAAATCAAAACTTAAATATAGTGTTATTAGTAATTTAAATTCACAACACTTGTTGTTGGTCTCCACTCAGAGATATTGGAATACATTTGTTCTTCAACTGGTAGGTACGTAGATGAAAATAAAATAAAAAAACAGGCAACTTTCTGAAAAAAATTTATTTAAATACACAATATAGTATGATTATGTCATATGTACAAGAATAAAATAGGACACTCTTAAAACAGAGCAATAAAATTCAATTTATAACTATATACAAATTTTCATATTTTCATAGCCCTGTATATTTAAAAACGGTCTCGGTTAGTCACCAAAACAATCTCCCTAAACCCTCGCCACTCAGGTAGAAACCGATCTACCTCCACATCCGGTCTGTTAGAAATGGAATGTATTAAAAAAACGGCAGATGTCCACCCGATACAAATTTTAAATACCCAGGGTCGGCCCTAATCCATGCTCTTTACAAAAATACAATTAGTTAACATCTCACTATCACAGTGGTCTCGGCGTTCATAACACCGCTTGAATTCAAGTAATTTCCTTCACAAAACAATTTCAAAAAATAAATAAATTAGGCAGCTATCACAAATAATTGTAGCACGAGAAATTTTGAGTTAAAAAACTTCTGCAAAGAAAATACTGACGGAACTTCGTTGTTTATAAGAATTAAAGGAATAGAGATCGTTCAACAAAGGAAACATCTGTAATATTTTTGTGCTGTTTCGGAAGTCTGGCAGGCATAGAAACTATTTTCCTAATCAACATCCACACAACAAGTTACACGGTCATCGCTATGAATTGTCTTTGCTGTAAGCTGTCAGGGCACTCTTTCGCTTGGGCGGAACACAGATCAGGCGTAGACATGGACCTGTTGAGCTTGCCATCGCCCATGCTGAAGCTGAAGATAGACACCAGGGAGGTAATGCGGTCTATCTCCATCGCCGCTTGTCCATCCTGCTGCTGCTGCTGCCTCTCCTTGCTCTCAGCCTGGCTGGCATCCTCTACTTCTTTGCTCACAGCGTCGCTCAGCAGAGTAGCGTCGTCCAGGAACACAGAATCATCCCCCTCGTCCTCCTGCTTGCTCCTCTTGGGTAAAATAGATTGCACCGCTTCTTCTGTCTCCCACTCCGCCACAGCCCGCCGTCTCTTCAAACAAGGCGACTTGCTGCGTTCCCTCAACACGTTCGAGCTCCTATCCAGGTCTAAGTACGTCAATTCGGGGTTGAATGGCGGATGGTTTTCCTTATCCTGGTTCTCCGCGCACTTGGCACAACTCTGCTCCAGAAACTCACTCGCCGAACTCTCCTCCACCTCTTCCTGGGCGCCAGACGGCTCCAGGCCGGCCTCTTCGGCTGTCAAGCCCACTAGATCGTCCTGAGGAGCGACGCGGGGTTGCACCGGCGCCTGGAAGTGCACCATATTGTACGCCTCCTCCATGAAGATGTAGCGAGCCTTCTGCAGCACCGTGGCAACAAGTAGGTTCTTGTGCAGGCTGACGCCGCCACGGTAGGATCTGCTTTGCGCAATCTTCGTCAGCGAGATGCCGATCAGCCTTTCCGCTTCGCTAGCCATCGCGTCACACACACCCAACTTCACTTCTCACTAGACTATCGGAAAATGCGCGCCAAACGTTTTCGACTCACACGCAACCGCTGCACACTCTCGACGACGTGAAATCGGCTAAAATGCAGCCGAACGCGCGTCCACATATACTTATAGGTTCGCGCGGTGACGTCACAACCTACTTTCAACGTGTCGTTCACCAATGAGCGGCGGCCTTGCCGAATAGCGCCGGGGTTATCCGAAAGACGCGATGAGCGATAGCAACAGGGCGCCTTAGAGCTCATTATCGGCAGCTTGTTTGCTTTATTTTAACCTTTATTAGCGGCTTCGGTAACGCTTATTGATAAGCGGAAGTCGGCGGACAGAGAAAAATACATCTTGTGTGTACGCAAGCATCGAGATTTCTTTGTTTGATATGTATGACTGCCTGCCTACTTTGTCGAGTATTAATAACGTATTACACGGCGTTTGTTTGCGGGTTTTTAGTTGGATTTTTTCAAGATTCCTTATGCATTTGCGTAAAAGCCATGATTCATTTATGAATAAGTAGTAGAATTGAGGATATGGGTATCTAGGTACAATGGAAAATCTACGATCATAGAAATTAATTAGATGACTAATTAGTACCTATATTAAAAGCGTTTATTGGTGACATAGGATGATTCACAAAAATGAGTATAGGTAGGTAGGTAGGTAGGTAGGTAGGTACACTCGTCTTCAGAGAAAATGTTGCGGTTGGACAATATAAGCGCTCTTGTAGCGGTGATTAGGCTGACAACCGTCCATGTGCGACATGTTTTCTGAAGACGACTGTACCTAGAAGCGATGCAGTAGGTTATGAAGGTTCAGTAATCCAATTTTGCAACATAATCGCTCCATATCTCTGGTTATTCATTTCATAATGTACCTATTTATACCTATATAGGTATTGAAATATACTTATATATATATACCTACCTATACATTTATAAAGAGTTTATGTAATCGAGTTGTGAATATAAATTATGTAACAAAATATCAGATGCTTATTCTACACTTGTGATGTTCAATATTGTAATTCAAATAGTTTATAAAAAATGGTAGGTACAGTATAGATACAATATAATTATTGTTAGGCATAAAATTTTCAACATTTCAAGTAGACGTAGGTAGCAATTTATTCAAATGTTTCCATCACAATAATACTGATGCATACAGGGGTTTTAATACATTCAAAAGAATATAAAGGGGACAGGTGCAGATGTAAATTGATCAAGCATAACCTAATGTGGTGAAAAAGCATGTGTTGTAAGTTGTAACTTGTAATCAAGCACCAACACACCATCATAAATCATACGTTCATTTAGAGCTCAATGTCTCGTAATCCCTGTTGATTCCGCAACTGACATTACACCACCTACCGTGTATTCAGTGCTGCATAACTTCATGCATAGCCAAAGTGTAACCAATGGCAAAGATTGAAATTAAACCAACAATCAAAACATAAGGGGCCTGAACTAAACGGGCCCTAGGATCGGATCAATATTATGATATGTTTCAAGCTTCTTTCAAGTTTCAAGGATAATTCAACAGGTAACAAGTCACAATGGATGAGGCACATGCCATTTTCAGTAGCTGCAATTAATTATAATGATGCTAAGTGAAAAGAGCACCAATCAGAAAAGTTGTAAGTTGCTCTTTGATTAAAGTGACCTCAGAATAATAATGAAAAAAGGGGTTGGTTCCTTATTATTCCAGGAACATGTTTCACATAGGGTCCCTTGATGGAAATTGACGTTGATGTCAAAGAATAGTTTAAGTCGTCTTAAAAGTGTTTATTATTATTTCTATGGTACGGACAGATCATAGCTGCATTCTTTTTTAATGATAGAGATTTTAGTTTTGTCTACTGGTATCCCTGACATTGCTGTCACGTCACATCCATGGGCGCTCCAGAAAATTATTAAAAAATTTTATAATAGGTATGTACAGGGTATTTACTTGTAGTCTTGTTGAGGAAGATCATATTATGGCAAACGAGTTTTGTAAATATGATCCGATTCTATTCAAAATTGGAAGGTATGTGGGGTTTTCCGGGGTCGAACTTTATGATTTTTTGTCAAAATTGGAAAATGCAAGATAGCGGATCCAATATGGCGAACGAAACTTGTAATCATGATCCGATTTTATTCAAAAAATCAAAATTGGTATCTGGGGATGTCCGAGGTCGGAGGTTATAATTATTTCGTCAAAATTGGGATATTCAAGATGGCGGATCCAATATGGTGGCCCAGTTTTGTAATGAAGATCCAATTCTATTCAAAATTGTAATGTGGGGGTTTTCGGGGTAGGAGCAGATAATGATTTTTTCGTCAAATTTTGAAAATTCAAGATGACCTCTAAAACTATATAGAGGATTGTTCAACTATATCTTGGTATAGTTGAATCAGGAATTCCATATGGAAATTACATATGATACGCCAGTGACCTCAATATAACCTAAAAAACAACAAATGTCAAAAATCTAGTGTTCATCCCCAAAATTGAATGAGGATGGAACTATATAACTGTTTCACCAACACTTTGGAGTGAGAGGAGACGAGGATCTGTCCATACCCTGCATAGACAATCTCAGAGTAGAGATTGTCTATGGTACCCTGTTAAGATGACTTTAACATCAATTTCCATCAAAGGACCCTAGTCACCCCTAGTTTCACAATGTTGGTTAAGTTTCAATATTCTTTAGTCACAATGAATACACATACCATTGAATTGAAAAAAACACTCAATTGGTCTTTCTATACCATAACCTGTATATAAGAAGGGACATTTTTTTTCAACTGTTGGAACTGAAAATAATGTATTTGGGCATCTGCTCAAAAAAAACATAATGCATTTATGTCCATACATATGGTATTTTCATTTCCAAAAACAAAGATATATTAAGCGGGATCCACAACTTTTAATACTGAGAAGATTACCTGACTTGTCTTGGACTATACATAGTCCATCATATTGTATATCCACCATACAATAGCAATAGGTAAAGTCACAGCTGGCAGGTGAGTAAATTGGGAAAATTGTGGAATTGATAAAAATTTTGAAACCTGAACTACTGCTAATGATGAACTATTTACTTTTGAGTTAATATGGACTTCTAACTGATCTTGTCATCCTAACTTTTGTTCATGATAAATATCAGACTTCAATTCTCTCACAGCTCATCATGACTTGTATTATTATTTTTACTACTTCTCTGAGGTGGAAAAGCCCAAAATGAAGATGTAAACCCTTTGACATCTCTTTCTCTTTTAACAAAAGCACTAAAGGAAGAAATACAGTTACCTATAAAATGATTAGATTTCCCTAGAATCGCCAAATCAACATGTGGATTGGACTTTGGATATTTGTAAACTAATACTCTCATTCTCTTCAATGCAGAACGTAATTCCTCCACCATATGATTGTTATCAGAAGCAACAAATACAGACTTTATGGTTCTATCATTGTTATTATTAGGAGCATTATTGATATTTTTTATAACCCTTTTCAGCTGCCTTATAATAGTCTCTTGGCTTGGGAGGCACATATCATTTGTGGCTTTACCCTTTTCATTTCTATACCCCACACATTGTGCTGCAGAGAACAAGCTAGGGCTCTCAGGGATGTGTTGACATGCCTTCACCCAGTCTATGCCATTGCGCAAGTGAATCCCAATGAAAGCACCCTTTGGAAGGACATTCAAGATGAAGTTGTTAGCCTCTGAATCAATAGCATCTGACCAGTGGAGGTATTTTTGGAGATGGCAGTTTTCCTGTTGAACTGGAAAGCTAGCTGGTGCTCCTGTTCAAAAAAATCTTTTGGGATTTGTAAATCACTGAGGCATGAGGTTGGGTGTCAGGATTTTGGCAGACCATTCAAAGTTGTTGAAATATTCAAAATTGGATATTCATGCACTTTGAATGAGGAGTTTTGAGATGTGCATATGTGGTTGGGGCAAAGATTTGGTAGGACAAGTGGAAACCTGTGAAATTTTTTTTTTCATACCTGTGAATGCTAATACAGGCCATTTAGTTGGTGGAAACTTCTCCTTCCACTGTTTAGCCATATCCTGGTGATATACATCATAATGTAGAGGTCCATAGAACTCAGATCCAGTGAAATCCACTCCATAGGTATCCCAGAATGATCCAAAAGGATTCCCCTCTTTTGCATTACAACTACCACCAGTACCTAAAACACAAATGTTCACTTATAAACCTTCAACAATCTTTACAAAACCAGAAACAATAACTAGTTTTCATGGCTAAAACTGTATAAAAGTAGACAAGCAAAGCAAAGCAACAATTTGTCAATTGAGATCAACCTGTCAAAAATTCCAACTTCAAAGAACAACTTTATTTTTAACAAACAATGACTGAAGTTCCTCCTACCTCTTGTCATATAACAAAAAGCTGTTCTTTGCTCCACTGGCCACTCAACAGGAGCAATATCTTTCATGAACTTCTCCATTGTGATGACTTTCAGGTATTTCTGTAGAGGTTCCACTTTGAAGTATAAGTCAAATGGCACTTGAATGGACTTGGGCTCTCCATATCGATATTCAACCCAAGCAGGAAGGGCTAGAGTTCTGTTCAAACCATGAGCAAAGCCTAGTGCCCCAAGAAAGTGGTCTGCTTGGTTTCCAAACCGGCCTATATGATTGAAGATGGAAAGTTAGTGGGTTCATGAACTGAAAATATGCTAAAACTTTACCTACCCATGCATGGGCAATATAGAATGTATCCCAAGGGATCTAGGTCAATGGTATTTGTTAATTGAAAGAATTTCATAATTATTATCAATACAATTAAATTGAAAAAATGCATGATTTGACTACTACTTCTGTTTGTAAATAACCTCAATTTCTATGTAAACATAAAGCCCATGGCCCATGGGTACCATGGGTACTGGGTGAAGGCCATAAAGGCCATAAGCGCCATCGGTAACTTACGACTCACGTAATTGACCCAGACCAGGAAACGGACCAACATGGAAGTGGTGATGTCCCGCATGCATGCTCCTGCACTCCGGCTACTCGGCTAGTATGAACTATGGGGTGGGCCCCCAGCCGGCCCAGAGCCCAGTGTTTGGCTTCAAATTCCGCGTAGCGCGTAGTTTAATCCGTTTTCGCGGTATTTTCTTCTTCTCATTTCTAATTTGATTTTAATAATTACCTTGACCACTAAAGTACCATAAGAAGACCATAAGCGTCGATTGTCGCTGTCTGCTGTTGTTTTATTTCTGGTTCTGTCAGTTCTGTGGCTGTAACCTGTAGTTCTTGTGTGTTTCGTTGTTTCGAGGCGTGGCGCTGGCAGTAAGAATTCAAACAACCATGACTTAAGTACAGGTACTGCAAGATCTATTGTTAAATAATAGCCTTGCAGGTACTGGTACATTTTTGAGTAAAGAAACATCATTGAAATAAGAAATCATTTTAGGCACCTGAAGTATTTTTTATTTTTTGTAAATTACGCTGGAGAACTTTCTATAGTTTTAAATGCACCTGTTGAAGTCTCAAGAATTTGACTATTCGTCATTATGAATAGTCAGAGAAAATTTTTCATCCTTCTTCCAATCCTCACATTATTTTCTCCTCAAAATGAAACATCAACACTGAGATGTTTATAGTCTCTAGCATGTCTCTAGGCATTTTAATCACCACATAAAATGAACCATACTCAAACTCAAATTGTTATATCGAAAGAAGAAATTAAATTATTTAAAGATTCGAATTAGTAGTAGTAGTATTGTGGGGAGGCTGTAGCCAGGCAAGTAGGCCCCCATAGGCCCTTTTTGCCAAAGATTCGAATTAACTACCTGCTGGAGCTAGGATCATTCTGATTGTTCCAAGAATATGTTGTTTCATGTTTCATTGTATGTATACCGTCGTAAGTCACGGTTGTTTGAGTTCTTGCATTTCTTTGTGCGTTCGAATCGAGCATCTTTCGTTCTGTGTCTGTGTTCTGTCTGTGACTTCTGTGGTCCTGTGGTGGTTCCCTTTTTTTTTATATGTTTCGTTTCTTTTCTTGGTTTCTTTTGTGCGGTTTGTGCGATTGTGCTACGTTGTGACGACTGAAAGTTTCAGGTATGCGAACATTTCAATATATTTCAGCAATCCCTGGCTAATTAGTTTTCACATTTAAGTTTTTCATTTGGTCAAATACGTATAATGGTTTCTATGTGCATATTTTTCATTTTGGCGAATCATCTAATTCACATTTTGATTTGAAACCCCGGCTCGTGACGCCATTTTCTTGTCCATCTTCAGAACATTCAAGCCAAGCGCAATGTGATGTTTCATTCATTATTTCCAGTGTCCTAATACAAATATCACTATGGCTGATGCCGATGAACTATTAGATTATGATGAAGATGAGGAAAATACTGAGCAGCCCGCAACCGAAACCAACAATTCGGAAGCTCAAAAGAAAGGGGTGAAGGGTACCTATGTTTCCATACACAGTTCTGGTTTCAGGGATTTCCTTCTGAAACCCGAAATCCTTCGGGCGATTGTTGATTGCGGTTTTGAGCACCCTTCAGAAGGTATTTATTCTTTGTTGTTTGCTTTTTCGATTATCAAATTATAGCTTTTTGCAGTACAACACGAATGTATTCCCCAAGCTGTGATAGGCATGGATATTCTATGCCAAGCCAAGTCTGGTATGGGCAAAACGGCGGTGTTCGTTTTAGCCACACTCCAACAACTGGAACCCACAGAAAATGTGGTGTATGTTCTGGTAATGTGCCATACTCGTGAGCTGGCCTTCCAAATCAGCAAAGAGTATGAGCGTTTTAGCAAATACATGCCTAGCGTCAAAGTGGGTGTTTTCTTTGGCGGCCTGCCCATCCAGGCAGATGAAGCAGTGCTGAAGAATAGCTGTCCTCACATTGTGGTCGGTACTCCCGGACGTATTTTAGCTTTAGCCAAATCGAAAAAGTTGAATTTGAAGCATCTGAAACATTTTATTCTTGATGAGTGTGACAAAATGCTGGAATTATTAGGTAAGTGCCAGAATTTGCCTGATATAAATTTTGTTGGATTGGTATTTCCCAGTGACTTTATAAAAACTTTTAGCATTTAACATTTAACATTTAAGACTTAAGAGAGTAAGTGGAGAAAATTATAAAAAAAATTGAGATTCTAGGGCAATACATGTCTTCTGTCATTACTAACATCTAGTTTCTGATACAGGACCAAAATTTCATGTTCTGATATCATTTATGAATTTATATTTATATCCCTGAAATGATACCCACATCCATCCATTATCTCCACATCATTTTGAAAGTAATCACTATTCCTTGCCTAACAGAAATTGGCTCACTCCTTGGATCTTTTACCAAATATGGAGGCAACAGAGTTGCAAGATTCTAGTGTATTTTTGAAGAATGGTTCAGTATTGATCAAAAGAAAAACAAATATTCAGGAATAACAACACAAGATATTTTGGATTATTCTTGAGTTTGAGATGTCACTTTTGGATGCACACTCCTTATTCCATTTATGATCATTTATCAGCACTTCCTAAGTTGGAAGTTGGTCATCTTCTTAAATCTTGAATGTTAAATCATAAGTCTTGAATGGTTTATAACATAACCAATGATATTTCCATGTTCCATCTGTCATAAGTCTTAAATGTTTGGTGATAAATCTTAAGTCTTAAAGTTTTTTATCAAGTGGCTCTCCATGAGAAATCAAAGCAAATATAGCAGCTGCACAAGCACAATTCATTTCATAACTGTTATTCTGATATATTATTTTAAAGTAGAACACTGTATTCCTCTGAGTGAGATGATATATCCAACTCAGTCCCATTACACAGTGCACATTATCTCATAATGAATAACCTTTGAGATACCTTGTAGTTCCAAATTATTAACTTTTATGCATTATACATTGAAGTTAAGAGTATGAAACAAATTGTGGTCCTGTATCTCCTAAATCTGACTTCTAGTGTGGTTGTGTATTTGAAATTGTTTATGTTTAATTGAATGTTAATTGGAATTGGCAGTGTTGGTGAGCTTCTTTGTTTTTTCATTATTTCCCCATTTAGTAATTCTTAATTGGAAACATAGTCCGAAGAATCTACATTTTCCTATTGATTTGCTTGGAATTTTTGATGTGCCATAATATACTTCACACACATTTCAGTATGTTGTCAGAATTTTAAGTTATCAGTCAGATTTTACAATCAATTTTAGAATTCTTATTGAATTTTGACTTGTCTGGTCAGAATTTCATTTGTGAGTACAGAATAATGACATTGAAATCAGATTTCTGAGTATTGAGATTTTTGCTGGTCTGAATTTTAATTTGTATGAGAATTCTCCCATAAAATTATCCACTGTGACACATTTTGAATACTGACATGTATCTTTAATTTGAATGCCATTTCTGAGTAGCATGATTCACAAATCAGAACTGTTGACAGTAGTTTCAGAATTCTGATTGAATTTTGCCTTGTAAGGGGACATTGTGGTTTTTATTGCAGAATTCTAATCTAAATCACATAATGAAAAAATTAGCAAACAGTAAATGGTATTGATGAAGGTAAATTTTGAGCAAAATTTGCTTATTTATCCTTGTTTAGAAACTTGAGTTAGTAATACCAGCAAAAAAAAGCAGGTCAGCCTAAAATATTTTATAAAATTTTCCTATATTTTTTTTCTATTACTGTTTTTAAATTTATGTAATATGTTGTTTTCTTTATCCAATTCATCATGATGAACATCAGTACTTTTTTTAAAAATTAGTGTTCTTGTCTATTAATCTCAACAAATTTTGTATTGAGAATGAATTGCTATCTTCTTCCAATAAAAAACCTGAAACTATTGATAGAAATCACAAACATTGATTTTTTTAGGTGTTTGAAAAAATGTATAATTCCCCACATAAGAATCAAGCCTGACTTTCATTAAGAATTTTGCATTTGATGCCAGGTGACAATTTATATTCTGACCTATTTCAAATGCTCATATCTCTGAAACCATTCAAGTTATCGTTGTGTGGTTTGGACTAGTTTATTTTGATGTTTTTCAAGTTTTTTTTGACGTGTTCATCTTCTCACTTGAACTTCCGGTTCTACCGGCAACAAACAAGCAATAATCCAGGTATAGGGCAATTTTTATATTTCATTGAATCACCCTGTATATTTTTGCACATTCAGAAAGACTGTTCTTTTCTCTATCTAATAATGTATTACAAGTTATGTTCTCCTAGAAAACTATTAGAGTTATAACTCTTTGAAACAACTACTGCTGGTGGAATGGTTCAATGAGGTTATGCAATGTTATCAAAGTTGCCCAATACCTGAATAATGGCTTGTTGATAATGGCGGTAGAACCGGAAGTTCAGGTGAGAAGGTGAACCAGTCAATAAACTTGAAGAGTATCAAAATAGAGAAGTCCAAACCGCACAACGATAATTTGAATAGTTTCGGAGATATGAGCAGTTGAAATGGGTCAGAATATAACTGGTCACCGGGTACCTGCAAAAACGTTTTTTTTTTGTTGGCCCTTCAATATTCTTGGAACCTCTTACAAATGTGAGAAATGTAAGGAAAGAATATTGCTTTTGCAGATATGAGACGTGACGTTCAAGAAATCTATCGTAACACACCGCACGGCAAACAAGTAATGATGTTCAGCGCCACTCTCAGCAAAGAAATCCGGCCAGTCTGCAAGAAATTCATGCAAGATGTAATTGAACCTTCTTATCCTACACTTAATTCATTCTACGCACCCACTAGCCGCCTTACAACAATCAAATCAAGATGAAAAATAACGTTTAGAAGCAATTAAATGTCAAGAGTCAAGTTGAAATTGTTGGACAGGGTGTTTTTCGCGTGCGTCGGTTAGCGCATTGTAGCCCAACGAGTAGGCTGGGGAGGGCGGGGCCAAGAAGAGGACAGAAGACCAATGAAACTACTGGATTAGTCCGCCGAAAGAAAGGGATATCGGTCGCGTTACATTTTCGGCCGAGCTACAATGCATCAAAATTACACACCCTGTGCAATGGAGAAGGCTTTTCTAGCGAATTTTGGTCTTTTTTGGGATGTTTTAAAGGGGATTTCGTTTGGCTGTGGAAAGTTTTGTTGAAAGAGAGGAGAATAGTGGGTCCCTATTCACAGGAGAAGCGAAAAATGGGAAATAACCGGATTTTGTAGGAGGAATGGTGCAGCCTTTTCTATCGTCTGCAGCTACATTTTGCCTTTTTGCCAATAAAGTTTGTATTCTCAATGGATTCTGATTTGATTGGGAGCTTTTTTTTCAGGCTCAATCAAGTGTGAACATTTTTTATCATTGCAGGAGATTACTCAAAAACTTTAAATTTTATTCCAAATAAACTACTCAACACTAATTTCGTCGCACACCAAAATGTCGCCCCTGTTATAATGTGAATAACTTTTTTCAGTTTAGAACAATTTGAATTTGGTTCACACTGTTCGATAGCCCAGTCCTTCAGCTATAATCTGGTACTTCATTGAAACATAAGGGTATTCACATAAAATCTCTACATGGTGTTTTCCGACACTGTGCAAAATTTCGGAATATTCAAAAGGCTCTCAAATGATGAAAACAAAATTTTTCTCAACTTTGACAACAGAGGCATGAAGATGATCTCATTACCTCGAGATATTTCGCGAATCAACTTCTTATCTCTCTTATTTACAGAGTGATATCAAAAAATCAACTTTTTGGTTTTGCAGCCATAACTTTTTTCCACTTCTACCGATTTTGGAAATCTTAGGCTCATTTTGAAGATAAAACTTCAGAGGAAGAGATCTGGATATCAGAATTGACTCAAGATGGCTATCGAAAGATCTAGAGTTTTCTTGAAAGTGACCCAAATCTGTAACGCCCTCCGAATCTCGGTTGGGAGAAGAATTGAATGAAAATCAACTTGTTCTCGGAAAAACTATTCATTCTGGATGCGTCCATATTTTCCTCGCTCTCAGTAGTCAAGAATGTGCGTGAGAAAACACAATTGAAATATGTTCTTGCAAAAACAATAAATAAACGTTGTTCGCTTGATTACTTTTCCGTATTCTTAACTCGCATGTTATGTACGTGATAACTGTTAAAAAAATCACTTTATTAAAAAAATCAAAATCCATTGCTCTTGTTGGTAGGTACACTATTTATGATGAGCCTCAGCTGGTCGGGTTTGTCAGTCACTCATTGTGATTCTTGTAACGTTGGTTACGGCGGGCCATGCATTACAGAGGAGAAATGATCTAATGTTTGTGCAAGAACATGTTTCAATTGTGTTTTCTCAAGCACATTTTTGACTACTGAGAGCGAGGAAAATATGGACGCATCCAGAATGAATTGTTTTTCCGAGAACAAGTTGATTTTCATTCAATTCTCCTCCCAACCGAGATTCGAAGGGCGTTCCAGATTTGGGTCACTTTCAAAACTCTAGATCTTTGATAGCCATCTTGAGTCAATTCTGATATTCAGATCTCTTCATATGAAGTTTTATCTACAAAATGAGCCTAAGATTTCCAAAAAGTTGATTTTTTTGAGATCACTCTGTAAATAAGAGAGATAGGAAGTTGATTCGCGAAATATCTCGAGGTAATGAGATCATCTTCATGACTTTGTTGTCGAAGTTGCGAAAAACATTTTTTTCGCCATTTGAGAGCCTTTTGAACTTTCCGAAATTTTGCACAGTGTCGGAAAACACCATGTAGAGATTTTATGTGAATACCTTTATGTTTCAATGAAGTACGAGATCATAGCTGAAGGACTGGGCTATCGAACAGTGTGAACCAAATTCAAATTGTTTTAAACTGAAAAAAGTTATTCACATTATAACAGGGCGACATTTTGGTGTGCGACGAAATTAGTGATGAGTAGTTTATTTATTGATGAAATTATCCCACATTTGATATACAAATAGATTCTCCTTGTCTCCTAATCAATTCAAGTTTCTTCTGATTAAAATCATTGTGGCACCATTATGAGATGAAGAAAATTTTAGATTATGAAAGAAAACATTCAAGGTTTTTTTCTGGAAACTATGAAGGCACTGAAGGGATAAAATACTTTTGAAATTTTTTAATTGTGTCAGAATAGTTGATTAGAATCAGAATTATTGTCAGGAATTAGTTTGAATTCTCACATGGTGTGTTCTGCCTTGATCTTAACCACTCTCAAATTCTGTTGATGGATTCAAAATGAATTAATTTTTTTCACAATGAAATGGTTCCTAAAATGTTCAGATTTTTGCAAAGTTGAGTCTGATGGCAGATCACATCACAAGATTTCTACATTTGAATTATAAAAAGTATATTAGGTGAAATTTCAATGTGGTACTTGAAGTGAAATAAATTGAAAGTAAAAAAAAACTTTTTAATAAAAAGCTTTTATTTAAACGCTCTAAAAAGAAGAAAATGAAATTTTTCTTAATAACTATCAACTTATAACCGCATTATACACAATTTATAATTATGATCATAAAAGTTTGTCGCGCGATTCACTTGTGTGAATGAACTAGTACTTATTTAATTATGTAAAATCTGCTGAGATAAAAGTTTTAAAATTACAATTTGATTGAATATTCATCATCGCGACAAGCTTTTATGATCATATAAATTGTTTATAATGAGGTTATAAGTTGATAGTTAAAATTATTAAGAACAATTTTATTTTATTTTTAGGGCGTTAAATAAAAGCTTCTTATTAATTTTTTTTTCACTTTTAATTTATATTTAAATTTTTAGTTATCGCTAGCTGGATTTTTCGATTTACTCTCAACTAGCCTTTTCATTTGATACCCATATTGTGGAAGTATATTGAAAATGACCATTCCGCCATCTTGGATGGTCCGCCATAATGGATTTAGAATGACGTCACATCATTTTTCGAGTTACTCTCAACGAGCCTATTCATTTGATACCCATATTGTAGAAGTATATTAAAAATAGCTATTCCGCCATCTTGGATGGTCCGCCATATTGGATTTAGAATAACGTCACATTATTTCTCGAATTACTCTCAACGAGCCCTTTCATTTGATACCCATATTGTAGAAGTAGATTAAAAATGACCATTCCGCCATCTTGGAGGGTCCGCCATATCGGATTCAGAATAACGTCACATTATTTTTCGAGTTACTCTCGACGAGCCTTTTCAGTTGATACCCATATTGTAAAAGAATATCAAAAATAGCTATTCCGCTATCTTGGATAGTCCGCCATATTGGATTTAGAATAACGTGACACCCCTTATCGTGCATTGTCATCCAAACTGAACGTGTATACAGAATTTCAGCTCAATCGGTTGAAGATTTCTACTTCAAAATTGAGTTCAAAGATTCCACCCGAACATACAAACTTACAATGCAAGTTAAACAAAAGCTTTTAATAAAAAGAACTGTTTTTATAATAAAAGCTAATATTTGGGAGGTTGGTAATGGAAATTTGCAATATACTCATTAATGACAAATAAGAAAAAAACCCATGAGAGAAAGTCGAAATGTCCGAAATATTGAAAGAAATTTCAAAAATTTTGGGGTCTAAAACTTATACTTCAATGTTCATATTGAAATTTCTTCAAAGTGCAATATAGTCATTGATGACAACTAAGAAAAAAACCCATGAGAGAAAGTTGAAATGTCCGAAATATTGAGACATTTCAAACATTTTGTAGTCTGAAACTTTTACTTCAATCTCCATAATTTATTATATTTTGTTCACATGTTATCTGACCTCTATTGATACTTTCATTTATAAAGTATTGGCAAGAATAATTTGAAAACTAATCTTCACTTTGATCAATTGAGGTCAGATGAATAATCTTTGGATTTTTTGTTCAGCCCATGGAAGTTTATGTGGATGATGAGGCTAAGCTGACGTTGCACGGATTACAACAGCATTATGTTAAACTCAAAGAAAACGAAAAGAATAAAAAATTGTTTGAATTACTGGATGTACTTGAATTCAACCAGGTAAGAAGTTGATTCCATATGGAAATTCAGGAAAGACAATTTTTTGGTAATTGACAATTTGTTATCAAATTTGATGTTTCTGTTGAAAGTTATTTCAATTTAAAATGATGATTTTCGTTTTATGAATGTTTTGATGACATATCATTTGAACTCTCTCACTGATTTTTTTTTAATTTACCTTTGATATTATTTTCGTTGAGTGTGCTGGAGTTCATTTTGTGCATTTTTTAAGGTGGTAATTTTCGTCAAATCAGTACAAAGGTGTGTAGCATTAGCACAACTACTCACAGAACAGAACTTTCCAGCTATTGGAATTCACAGAGGAATGGACCAGAAAGAAAGACTGTCTAGATATGAACAATTCAAAGATTTCCAAAAGGTTTGTTATTTTCAACTTCTTGTGTTAACTAGAAATGATTGTTTAATTATCATCAAACTATGAAACTTGGAGAAGAAAAAGCTTTTTAAAACCTTGTATCTGTCAGTGGTGCAATCTAATAAATAAACTCATTTTCATCCATGCTTCAGCATGACCCCCTTAGAAAAAAATGAATATGCCACTGAAGCAAGAATTTTCTTATGGTGGAAGATATTTTGAAATTCCTAAAATTTTTCTCGTCGCCCTGAAAAAAGAAGTTCACTGATGAAGTTACGATTTTGCTTCTCATGGAGGACATTTCAAAATTCCTCATAGACCCACAGAAAAATATTTGGTTATGCTTCTGAAGGTAGCATTCTTATGATATTCAGGTTTTGATTTACCCCAAGAAAAATGAGGTACGCTCCTGAAGTCGCAATTTAAATGTATAAGAAATACCAACTGGGATTTCACACCTCCCTCAGAATTGGATATGTCCATGACATTTGTAGTTGCATATTGTGAACTCATGAGAAACGTTGATATTTACGTCATGATGACTGTTTTCATAAGATTTGTGTCTAGCTTGATTTCCAAGAACTTGAATGTCATTGCTAATGCTGCAGTATTAGCAAATTCATATTGACACAGATTCAAAATCTAAGCAAAACGGCTAGAAATTTACCGCCAGTTGACGCCACGATTTCGTAAGTGCTACAGTTGCCATGTGATGAAATACGATTGGGAATTTAAGAAACATGAGTTATTCAATAATTCATAAATTCTCAACTGAGTATTGATAATATTCCTAATTAGCAATACAAATTCAATTGCCTCAAAATGTTCCCTTATACTTTGTGGCTTATCGCGTATAATAATTCACACTAGAGGAAATTTGAATCGGTGAACGTGAAAACACGACGCACGCCTTGTGGGCGTGGTCTTGTCAGTTCCCAACATTCAGCACAATGTTGCCAAGTCTCCAACATTTACATGATATTTTGTTATGGAGAATAAGACATATTTGGACATGCTGGTTGTTTGAAAAAGTCAAGAATGAATTATATGGGTTGCTTCTATTATGTTTTGTTCAACGACAGGACTCTAACATCATCTTTTCGATAACTTGATTATAATTGGTGACTTGGTAACCTTGCTTTATGACTCATTATTTACATAAAAAAGCATGAGAAGTGTTGCAAAAATTAATTTAGGTTCCTAATAACACAGTGGAGTAATTGAATGATAATAATTCATTATCAGTCCACTCGCCCATTGACATAATGATACATACGTAGGGACATATGAATACCCTAATTATTTTTTGACACCAAAAAAAAAACACAGAAAAACCCCAATGAAATGACAAGAGTTCATCCAGTCTCCTCTTCACTTAGAGAATAATGGTGGCGACGAACCTCTTTGGCCGCGGCATGTACAGTGTGTCCAGTTTTCGATGCTTTTGCGTGATATCTCAGTTATCTTTGGAGATAGAACCTTGCGGTTTTCGCGGTTCTTTGCCACTTTTTTGTGAAACTCAAGATGGCCTGATCAGTTTTTGCAGGACTGTTTCCGTTTATGAGATACAGGGCAATTGTGAAAATTTATACTTTTTGGACTCCCTCTATATCTACGAAGTTTATCAGCGAAAATGTCAAGTTAAAATCTTAACCCATAGAGAATTTTATGCAGAATTCAGTGGCGCACGAAAAATTTTATTTTCGGGGTGTGGTATTGAAAATACGACTCAAACCAAACTTATGATTTTTTAAATTGAACACCCTGTATTTTATAGGCTCATTGAATTTCTTATTTTTTCCCTTCGAAATGATATATGATGTATGAATATAACATTTTCATAAATGTTCAAAAATCACTAAAACATTGAATTTTAATAGTGGGCTATGGGTTTTTCGAGGGATTTTCATATAAAGAAATTTACAATTGAAGGAATATTTCCTTTGATTGTTCCATGAAGGGAGAAATAACAATTTCAACACTAATTAACTTGCAATACACAAGACTCAGATACCTGATATCCACAAATTCGAAATTATTCAGTGATTCATTCATTGAATTGTTCAAATTGATGTCCATTTTTCATCACAAACTTTCTCAATACATATTAATCATTGAAAGATGTCTTTGTAATTCCTGGAAAAGTGCCTCTGTTGTTGCACAAAGTTCTTAAAGTATGTTGGGCCACTCACTGTATTAAGAAGTATTGAGAAAGTTCATCAACTGTATGTTGGGAAAATGGATATCAATTTGAACATGTCAATGAATAAGTTACTGAATAATTCCGGAATTCAATTATTTTAGTAAATATTTAATCAGGTGCTTACTCTACATTATGAACCTTTTATTACTATTTATTTGTTGCTATCAGGTACCCAATTTTAGTGTTTTGTTGATTGATAAGTGTTGATATTGGTTTTGACTTCTCCATGGAAAAATTTAAAGATATATTCCTTCAATTGGAACGTTTTTCATAAGAAAAATCAATCCATCCAACTATCAAAATTCAATATTTTAGTGATTTTGATCAATTTTGAGAATTTTATATTCATTCGTTATACATCATTTAGAGACAAAAAAATTAGGAATTTAATGAGCTTATGAAATACAGGGTGTTCCATTTAAAAAATCATAAGTTTGAGTCGTATCTCCAAAACCATACCCCGAAAAAAAAAATTTAGTGCGCCACTGGATTATGTGTGAAATTCGTGGATATAGAGGGTCCAAAAAGTATAAATTTTCAAAATCGCCCTGTATCTCATAAACGGAAACAGTCTTGCAAAATCTGTTAAGGCCACCTTGAGTTTCACAAGAAAGTGGCACAGGACCGCGAAAACCGCAAGGTTCTATCTCCAAAGATAACTGAGATATCAGGCAAAAGCATCGAAAACTGGACACACTGTACATCTAGCTTGATTTCTAAGAACTTTAATTTTATTTCTAATGCGATATTACCAAATTTATATTGATTAAGATCTAAAATTGAAGCAATATCTGCTAAGTACAACTTACATGATGATACATACGTAGGGACATATGAATACCCTGATTATTTACGTATGGGAATTTTCTGACACCAAAAAAACACCCACTCAAAACCCCCAATGAAACGACAAGACCCAATCCGATTTCCTCTTCACTCAGAGAATAATGGTGGCGACGAACCTCTTTGGCCGCGGCATGGACATCGAGCGCGTCAACATCGTCTTCAACTATGACATGCCCGAGGACTCGGACACGTATCTGCACCGCGTGGCGAGGGCCGGCCGATTTGGTACAAAAGGCCTGGCCATCACGTTCGTGTCGGAGGAGGGGGACGCGAAGATCCTGAACGAGGTGCAGGACAGGTTCGACGTGAACATCACCGAGCTGCCCGACGAGATCGACCTCAGCTCATATAGTAAGTGGATGATGGGGTTCAGGTCTGGAGAGATTGGAGGCCGATTCAGTTTTCATTATAATTTTTTTATTTCACATGTTTTTGGGCATTCCATGCACTACTGCTATAGCAGTCCCGCCTACTGTATTAGCAGTAGACTACTGTATTAGTAGTAATGGCAGTGTCGCTCACACAATGTATTATTCCATGGGATAGCTGTTGAGTTTGATGCTGTTGCTGTTTTTCGCGGGTTTGGGAATTTTCTTTGAATATTTGCTGGGTTTTCATTTCGTTTTCTTTGATTAGATAAGTCAGCTAATGCTTATTTCCACTGAAGATGTATAATGTAATCATGAATGTCAAGACTCATCTTCTGTGTCACAGCCGTCTTCAACTATCAAGCCGTGCTGAAATAATGGCAACGTCGCACGAACGGAAACCGTCGGTCCCATTCGCGCCTAGCAATACAATGGTTTTTATATGAGGAGCTTTGAATGTTTGGTTTAATGTAATTTTCTCGGATTATTTTGTCGAATAGGTAAATAATACATGAGAGTGAACTTACAGAGTGAAGAACAAGGAATAATGTGGTTGAATAATTCCCTTGGTCATGAAATGAAGCCGTAATTTTGAACATTTTGATAAAATTTGGATCAGTTCTTGATGGTTTGGCTGGTTTTGAAAAATATTTTGGTAAATTTGGAAAAATTGAACGAACTGCTGTTTTGACTAACTTTGGTGCTCCTAACAATTTTTTTCCAATTGATCCATCTGGCAGAGGGTATGTATCATACCTGATGATATCTTTCTCAATAAAATGAATTGCACATACTGCAGAACGTTGAGACGGTGTCCAGTTTTTTCGAGGTATTGCTATTATCCACTTCGCAATTCTTCCCCTTCTGGGAATAAAAAAACTGAGACATGATCCTTTCCCAGCTTTTTTTCAGATCTGTAATCTTACTTATTTCCAGGAGTAAATTGAAAAAACAACACAAATTCCCTTGCAAATACACCAGCACTAGTACACTTCACTATAACCTCCAATTTAACACAATTTTGAATGCACTTGCCACACACTTTCAGTCTCTAGTCGATTCCTAGATTGTTGCTAATACTTTTAAAATTATTTGATCTCAATATTACACCAATTGATAATTGAAAACCTTCCATAAACTCCTTGTTTACTTCCTACACAATACGCTTTGAATGGCCGACAGGTGCACTATAGATTGCAACGTACGTACAATGTTGCCAAGCTTCTTCTTCATGGCTTGATAGTTGAAGACGGCTGTGTCTGTGTTGAATGAGGGTTGATTCACATTTACATTTTGATAGAATTCAGAAACAGAATTCAATATTCCTCTTTGTGATGTATTATACTAATTTTTTTTTTTTTTTTTCAGTTGAGGGGAGATAATTTTGAGAGCAAGTCGAATATGTATTCTTAAGGAGAGAGTTTTGGAAACTTGTAATGTTTGTGTTTAAGTAATAAATGTAAGTTGTTTTAGATAGTGAAAGTGATTATTTTAAGTGACCATAGAAATTTGATTAATGTAGCCCTGTGGTTATATTTTTACCTGAATAAAAATATGTTTGTATAAAGATACTCTTTTATTCTTGCCAATTCCTGCCTGGTGAAAATAGTTTTTAGGAGGATATAGTTCCAACCAAAACAAATCCTTACTAGTGATACCATTACCATGGAGAACCTAGTTGTTATTACCATGGCTTAGAGAATATACCCATGGTGGAAATATATATGGTGTGCTACTCAAGTATCTTGAATTCATCTTTTCATTGGAGTCTGCACCAAAATGTTCACGGCGACTCGGGCGAACTGATAACTGTGAGCTCAGACTGCTAGCAATTGTTTTACTCCCAGTGTATTCGAAGATGCGTCATTCCATGTGGTACTAGCTTTTCCATTTAGATGGACAATTACTGAGGTGACTGACTGAGATGATTGGAATTCGGATCTAAACCAGAAATTATTCATTTATTTCAAAACTTAACACATGGCAGCAGTTATTTGTTTTGCTAGGTAGGAAAGTAGTAGATTGACTGCCGTTCATAGCCGAGCATAGTGAGGCTAGGAATTGTGTTATTTTTTCATTGAAAACTATTTCCTTTTCACCCAATGTCTGTCAAATATAATTCAAATTACTTGGAACACATTGCATAGCAACAAATTTTTCCTGTCTAAGACTGTCACTTTTAGGTATCAGATGGATCAAAGAAAAAACACTTTCCCTGCCAGTTGGAGGAAACATTTTTCTTTAACGTAAACTATCAAATGAGTTGAAAGATTTTCCATGATCATGTAAACTTGACTAAAACCCATTTCTTCATGATAGAATTAGTACAAGAGCTGTGAATGAAAATGTTCCAGTCCCTACTGAATTGTGACAGATAAAAACGCCAACAGTAGATGAATTTTCAAATTTGTTCCTGTTTTCTTGTCACAGATTAAATTAATTTTTGTATTTTTAGCAGTTTTTTATGCTAACTATAAACCTTCCTATTTGCTCAAAGCATGATATATCAAGCAATGCTCAAATTATCAAACTTCTGAATCAGATGAATAGTTTGGGAGAAGCTCAACTCTAAAATTTGGGGCCAATTTTAAAGCAGGTTTCTCAGGCCAGTTTATATCATGGTCACTGATGAGAAAAGCTATCATTTTAAAATCACTGAAATTCTAAATGGGTAATGCAGATTAATCAAAAACCATGTTTATAACTATAATGTATATTTTCATTTCACTGAAAACAGCACATTCTATAAATTATTTTTACAGTAGATACTTGGGTTATTTAGTTATATAGGCATGTTTTTCTTCCTCAGTGATGACTATCTCTAAAGAATCTTAGTCCACAATAACCACAAGCATGATTTCCTGGCTTATCCTAGAAAATAATCAACTTACATTTAGGACCAAACTAACAGAAAAAGCTAAGTAATAAGTTTCAAGTTGTTAATCTCTCATAGGACATGTGTATTTGTTCACAAATTTTTTTATTTGAGATCCAGTTCTGTGAGATCCCATACTTATTTTTATGAACATTACATAACAGTTGTTTCAATAGTTGAATCCTTCAGCTGTTATAACTAATTAACTACCTATGTACTCACCAAGTTAATAAAGACTTTGGGGTGTCCAGTTGGACCACTACCACCATCACAGTATACAACTCTTTCTTTGCAAGCCTTTGGTGGTACCTCAGCAATTAGATTCATAGCAATGTTGGGATTTACATTCTTTGGTCTATCAATAAACCTAGACATTCTGTAATCATCAGCTTCCCATTTCTTAAATTGATAATTTGATTAATTTCATTGAATAATAGTAATAACTACTTTATGTAACCTGTCCAGTGTGAGTTTCCTTTTCTTTGGGTACCCAATCTGACATACATCTAACGCTTGAATTCACAATAGGACGCTTCATCAGGACTTTTTGAGTGGTATGTGCCAAAAAGTGAATTCTTGACATTGTGCTTAGAATAAAGAGAATTCAAAATTTTCGAAAATTTTCTTTCCAAACTTAACCTACAACTACAAATTTTGAATTCTTCTTCCTATAAAGTTATTCAGTGATCTTATGGCCTTTTGTTCCATAAATGATTTCTTTACCGTACCTAATTGTTCAATGTAGAAGAAAAAAAAAGAAGTTAACCTATCCACTTAAATATTTTGGAAACATGAAAAATAAACAAGTATTTCTCTAAATTACGAGACAAATATGAGCAATGTGTCCTATACCATTTCTTGGGAGTTTTCAAAAAGTCTCCTGCAGCTGGACACATCTATCCAGACGCTGCCTTTCAGTATGGTCCCCCTTGGCTGAAGCTTTCAATACTCGTCCCACTCAAAAGTTCAACTACCGCAAGAACGACGTGGGCCTCTTCGGTATTCCAGAACTTAATAGACCAGAGGGATTCAGGCAACTCCAAGAGACATGCATCAACACAACAGCATCTCTCATAGAACAAGCACTGAGTCCTTCAAGAGAGAAAAAAATGGTTGAAATATTTGATGAGATGTCTGACACCCTTTGCCAGGTTGCAGATTTAGCAGAGTTTATCAGACTAGCTCATCCTGAAGAAAAGCATGCCAAGGCAGCTGAAGAGGCTTGTTGTACAGTGAGTGGTATAGTTGAGAATCTTAATACAAATCTAAGATTGTACAAGGTACTGAAGGATGCAGTTACTAGAGAAGATGTTGTGAAGAACAGTGCTGTTGATAAACATGTAGGGGAGTTATTTCTCATAGACTTTGAGCAAAGTGGAATACATTTAAAAAATGAATCTGATAGGGAAAAAGTAGTGGAATTGACTAATGCAATACTCAACTATGGTCAGCAGTTTGTTGGGGGAGCATCTACACCAAGAATGGTCAAAAAATCATTGCTACCAGGTAGCCTGAGAAATGTACTGGCAAGTGAGGAAGACACAATTCTAGTTTCAGGTTTATACACTGATTCAGCTGATCCAGTAGCCAGAGAAATGGCTTTTAAAATTTTTTTGCACCCAGATCCTCACCAAGACATGTTGCTAAATAAAATGCTGGAAGCTAGATATGAGCTTGCAAAAATATGTGGTTTCCCTACTTATGCTAGTAGAGCCTTGAGAGGCTCCATAATAGACAGCCCTGATCAAGTGATGATTTTCTTAAAGAAACTATCCCAAAATATTTGGGACAAAGCAAAAATTGATTTTGATCTCATGAACAATATGAAATTACTTGAGAACCCATTGAGCAGTGGAGTGCAATCATGGGATATACCTTATTATACCCAGAAAGCCAAAAAAGAATGGTTCAGGGTATCATCCAAAGAGTATTCTCCATATTTTTCTTTAGGTGCATGTATGGATGGCTTGAACAATCTCTTCCAATCCTTATATGGTATTCAACTAGTCAATTTTGAACTCTCTACAGGAGAATGCTGGTCCCCTGATGTATACAAACTATCTGTTGTTCATGAAAAAGAAGGATTGCTTGGCTACATCTACTGTGACTTCTATGAACGTACTGGAAAACCAAACCAAGACTGTCATTTCACAATCAGAGGGGGCCGATCTTTATCAGAAAATATTTACCAGCTACCAATTGTAGTTGTCATGCTCAACCTACCCACCCCAAGATGGTCTAGCCCTTCTCTTCTGAGTCCCAGCATGATGGACAACTTATTCCATGAAATAGGGCATGCCATGCATTCCATGCTTGCTAGAACCAAGTACCAACATGTCAGTGGTACAAGGTGCAGTACAGACTTTGCAGAAGTACCGTCTGTCCTAATGGAATACTTTGCTTCTGACCACAGGGTGCTGAAACGTTTTGCAAGGCATTTCCAGACTCAGCAACCAATGTCTGATGAGATGGTCCAAAGACTGTGTGGGGCCAAAAGACTGTTCACAGCATGTGAAACACAGCTGCAGCTGTTCTATGCAGTGATTGATCAGAAATACCATGGTGCTCATCCATTGAAAGGAAGCACAACTGATGTGCTAGTAGAGGCTCAGAAAGACTTCTATGGGCTACCTTATGTGCCCAATACTGCCTGGCAGTTGCGTTTTAGTCACTTGGTAGGGTATGGAGCAAAATACTATTCATACTTAGTATCTAGGGCTCTGGCACATTCCATTTGGAAATCATACTTTGAGAAGGACCCTTTCAGTAGGGAGAGTGGGGAAAGGTATAGGATGGAGTGCTTGAGTCATGGTGGTGGAAAGAATCCAAGGGATTTGGTGAGGGATTTTTTGGGGGTGGATCCCACACCTGATATTCTAGCTGATTATTTGATTAATGAGATTGACTATCATCAAAGTCAAGTGGATCTTGTGATGAAAAATAGGACTTGAATAATCAGTTTTCAACTATTCATTATTTTTTATAATCATTTGAAGTGGAACTTGTAAATTAGGAAAGCCCACAAATCATTAAATATTTATTGTGTTTAGTTTTACTAGAAATTCATTTAATGAACATGGCCTGAACATTGTATACCAACTCAAGAGATGGACACTTCTGATGGCACTAATGATCAAACTATATTGAAATATTCTTATAATGTATATAAAGAATTTTGAAGGAAAAGGTTTCCTAATCATACCATTGTTATAAATATGTACATTTTTATTCTCCACTTGATATCTACAAAATACATATAATAGCAAACACATAATATGTAGGCTGGAGATGTTTCAATTATCATAATCAATTGAAAAATTTGGTGGATTAACTTGCAGTTTAATATTCAACACCATTGTACAAATTCTAGTACAAAAGATTATATATTTTTTTGAATAAATAAAAAATCACAATAAAAATGATAAATAAGTACAAAATCAAATAAAAAATAAATGACTTGGAGAAGTAAAATAGTTTGATAATGTGTTTTTAGTACGAGATCATCTCAAAATACCTGCCATAAATCTATGATTTTTTTCAGTTTGATGGAATCATGTTTTTTCCAAATCACCTGAATTTCTGCACCTCAAGCAGATCATAATTGCCCATATTTATGCTACAATCGACACAATGAAAAATCTGCAACTCAATTGATTTGGCATTTCTGTTCTGAGTAAAAATCAAGGCTAGGTGAAATAGGAAGGGCCTAAAAGAAGAATTTTTTATAACAATTCAACCCTTTTTTTAGTGATTGAGACCCATTCCAAGAAGTAAATGACCCAAGTCTTTCAGCTAATGTTTGCTGCCAGTGATTATAAACAGGAAACAGGGAATGACATTACATAGATATACAATCAGGATGATGTTGACTGCAGTGTTTTCAGTGTTCTTAATTTCGATTTAATCATTACCTGCTCCAAATCTAACGTTGGTTTTCTGTTAGCTTGTGTTTTCGGCAAGTACAGAGTCTGTAACAATTGATAGCCACATGATAGATTACCATTTGATGGTTGATAACCACTTTTTCTGATATTCGAACAATGTAATCTTCATTTTCTACGCCTGCATTGTGATATATTGACTCCAGGAACGTTTATTGTCTCTCCTGTGAAATCTAGTCTGAGTGGGACACAAGTTGTCAGAATTAGACCATCCATATGCAAATCTCTTCAATATCCCTAGGGAAGAGATGCAACCTTGAAAAAAAAAAAAGGTCACGTGACACCCAAACATCGTTGAAGGTCCTTCAAGGTCCTGCTTCTGGCTAAGCTAAAGCTGTACCCCCCTCCTCATACCCTCTGCTGCAACAGCTCCTCGGGAATATTATACAAACTCAACACGGGGTAGTACCCAGCGGCAAGGGACGAAGGCGGTGCTGGCGCCTCCTCCGCGAAGCCTCCGGGCTCCGTTGTCGCCGCAGGCGGGCCTGGCTGGGGCGCCGCCAGGACCGTACCGGGCGGATTGCGATGCGGCATCCCGGTGGGCGGAATGTCCTGGCGTGTGCGGCACGTGACCGAGGTGTTGATGCCGTGGCGCCGTTTCATGTGCTTGTTGTAGTTTGGCCAGTTGGTGAAGTGGTGCTGGCACTCGGTGCAAGAATACGGACGTTCGCCTGCACAGACATATCCATTTTGTTTTACGATTTTCAAATGTGCATTCATCAAACATCTTGTTTAGTCTCGTTGGACTGGCGCTCTCTGACCATATACGCGGACCACGCCCAGAATCGGTCGCTAAGACAATCAGCCGGCAGGGACAGCCTACATATATAGACAGAGAGCTGCGTTGACTCCAGCATTTCTCGCGCCACGGAGGAGCCATGATACTCTCTTGAATTCCAAGGATAACGCTTACGCGATGTCCAAGAATTCTCGTGGGGGTTTACATTTTCGTGCAGAGAATCCTACAGATCTTACAGGGGTTCCCTAAACATCCGGCGATTCATCTTTGAGCAACTCAAATAAATGTTAATAATCATTCTTGTTGCAAATCATTACGGAACAAAATAAAGGGTTTTCTAATTGGGGCGGGTGGATGTTGGCAGCATGTGGGGGCTACGTTATTTCAATTTGGTGTTTTTTATTCTGAACTGAACTGAACAGCTCGTCCAAATGATAAAACTTTATTATTCGCCCAAATGATAAAACTTTATTATCGAAATGAGTGTTTGTTACTTTGTTAGTACAGTTTGATGAGAACCCCAATTATGGCAGAAACATCATCTTCAGCGACGAGGCGCATTTTTGGATGAATGGTTATGTCAATAAGCAAGATTGCACTTTATGGGACGACTCCAACACACACGAGGTTCACCAAGTGACAATGCATCCAAAATTACAAATTACATGTGGATATTACGTATGATACGCCAATGTCCTCAATATAACCTAAAAAACAACAAATGTAGAAATCTAGTGTTTATTCCCAGAAATGAATAAAGATGGAACTATATAACTGTTTCACAAACACTTTAGAGTGAGAGGAGACGAGGATCTGTCCGTACCCTGTTAAGATGACAAATACGTCAGTTTGCATCAAGGGACCCTACTATAAAAGATCTTGAATGAAACCTACTCACCGGTATGCTGCCGCCTGTGCGTCGTCAGCACCCCCTTGAACCGGAAACACTTGCCGCAGAACTCGCAAGCGAACGGCATGGCGCCCGTGTGGATGCGCCGGTGCTCGTTGAGCGTGCCGCGCTCCCTGAATTGCCGGCCGCACACGTCGCACCGGTGCGGCTTGAGGCCCGAGTGCACGGAGGCGTGCTTGCGCAGGCGCATCGCCGTCTTGAAGGCCTTGCCGCATGCGGGGCAGTCGAACGGCCGGGCGGCCGTGTGCGTCAACAGGTGGTTGTCCAAGTTACCTGTGGAATGTGGACGCCATATGGATGGACGAAGAGAATAGTGCATTTTGTGCTGCCTTGAATCAGCCATTTTCCACTAATGTCCATTTCATTCTGAATGATCTGCTCTTCAAGGCGGAGCAAACAGATTACATCTTTCAGCTCGCTCTGCCAATTAACGAACACGGAGCAGATTAGACAGAGGAAGTAGATCTGATTTATCGAACGCTTTCCGAGCTAACAGATGGAATCGAGCAAACAGATATGTTATAACCGAACACACCTATTGTTTGATGGGCGAAGACAACTTTTCAACCAAATTTTAAACATAATCAGTAGAACTCATGTAGAACTGGATATCAGTTCTGTTCAAGCGAAATTATTCATCAAAATTAAAAAAGGTTGTATTTAACCAGCCAGGAAACGCGTTATTTTGTATGAAGATGAGAAAAACACAGAGGAAATATCTATTAAATTATCGAAAATGAGGAATCTTATCCTTAAACACGATCATTTAGAATCGTGGTGCATTTGCATTCATAGGCGAACAATTTAGATAATAGAATCGCTAAGAAACGAGTATCCAATGAAAAGTCTCCTCCCAGCGCCATGACGGTGGGTGGAGCCTAACAGAATATAGGTTCCGATCAGAGAAGTAAGGAACGTCGATATACCGCTGGGTCTTATTACATCAGATTCCATTGAACATTTTATGCATGCAACAAAAAAAAGTGGTAGAGGTATTGTTTAGTTTTATGATGAATTGATGTTCATCGATCATACAGGGAGTGGAAAGAAGAAAACAGGAAAATCAGGTTTTTACTCAACATCCTCAATTTTCAAAAAACAAGGATCGCAAAAGAGTTGAAAAATAGTTCCTGTTATATAATATAATATATATAATAAGTATACACTTTTCCAACACACCCTGTAACCACCAATATTTTTCCTCTCTCCAAGTGTACTTATATAGTAAGAACAACACCCTGTGCATATAGTATTTATCAGAGATTAGTCAACCACGTTGTTTGTTATTAAATTCCTTGCCTCACATTGCACTAGTTGCAGCCATGATTGCACTGATGTGCTGTTGTTTTAGAAATTCTTCTCGACCTCAAGAAAACAATGTTTTCGGTGGTTTTCGGATAGATGGCGACATTGCACAATTATGACATCTGTCAATTTTTAAATTGCCGCAGATTTTTCGAATTCAGAGTGAACAAAACTCACTTTCACATATGTTCCGCGTACCTAAAATGAGTAAAATGCGATTTGCCATTTTATTTTCACTCGTCACAGCAGCAAAAAGTAGATTGAACTTCTCACTGGATGTGACAGAGAAATCAAAGTAGGTGGTCAAGTGATTTTTCTTAATGGCCGAGTACGCGCACACTTATTTTCATCATTCACAGTACATATGTCTATAAAAAAAAGAATAAAAAAAGAAGAAGAACGATCAGATAATCAGATGCACTAGATTAGATGCAGAAACTTGTAAAAAAACTAAACAGAGAACAGAGTGATGTTTGTTTTTGTCCATCAGTGATTGTTGGTGTTCTAATTACAGAAAATGTGCCGGAAATTAGTGAAATACAGCCAAACTTTCCATATGTTGTGAACTCTTTGAATAGTACATAGAAAGCATGAGGAAATATTCTTGGCACCACAGAATTATTGACAAAATGAAAACCGGCAAGGTTAGTACTATGCTATGCTAGAAATTCTAGGTCCCTGAATTATTTTAAAGGTGCAAAATTTTGAGTTCAATAAAAAATGATCTGTCTGAAAACACAGTATACTATAATATATATCTAAGGAATATATCCATAATAATAATTGAATTCCAGTACAACAATCCATGAGCTAAGGGAAGGTATACTGGATTCATAAATATTACAGGTTACTATAAATCCATTGAACATGCTTTATTTACAGAAAAATGTAATCAAAAGCAGTGTGACTCCATGATTTCATGTTCACCAGAAAAAGTATAATCCATTATTTGGTTTCAATATGAGAAAGAAGGTGCCATTACTTACCTTTTTGTACAAAACTTTTTCCACACTGATCACAAGTATAATCTCTAATTCCAGTGTGTATCCTCTTATGAGCCATCAAGTTAGGTTTAGTACCAAATTTCTTGGGGCACTGATCACACTGATACTGATTTTTTATTTCTGCTGGGAGATGAGATCTGGCATGAACCTGTTATGAGAAAAAGAAAATGTAGTAGAATCAGGAGATAGTTTGTCAAGTTTCTTACTAATAAGGCAGACTGCATGCGAAATTTTTTTCCACAGCTTGTGCAGCTGTGAGGCTTATCATCAGTGTGTTCAGATCTGTGCTGATCTTGCTCAGAAGCTGTAGGAAACCATTTGTAACATATGTCACAACAAAGTTTGAGTCTTGGTCTATGCACCTGCAGAAAGAATGTTTGAGATGTTATTCAATCATATCTTGACAACTTGATATCCTTACCCTAACATGTGCTAAAAAGACACTATACTTTGTATAAACTTTAGGGCACTCAGCACATGCATATCTAGGAGATGAATTGTGCACAGTACCATAATGGTCCTTCAATTCTTCAGAATTGTTGATAACAAGTTGACAGTCACAGCAGGAAAATGGATAAGTATCCCAGCCAAATATAGGATCAAACTTTTGAACCATCATTCCATCTGATTTCACCTCAAATTCCATGTTTGATATTTGATGCACTGTTTGAGAATTTTGAATGTCTTCAGTCTGTTTTTTCTTGGCATTTTTACGAGTCTAAAACAATAATAATTCCTAGACTATTCATACAATAGAAAAAACAAAAATCTGTTTAGGATCCACCCAAATTCAGTAAATACACACACCAAAACAACTATTATTTCAAGATATGTCTTGAACATACCCCACTCCTAGAAGTCCTGACTTTACGTTTGCTACATGCTACTGGCTCTTTCAGTTTCTTTTCATTTCCTGAGGAATCAGACAAACCATCCACATCTTTCAGTGCTCCAGGTATAAAGTCACATTTATCTTCATTTTTCAAGTCCATGAAGCCAAAATCAACCATTGATGTAGTATCAGTACCATTATCAGTTATAAGGAGAGGAACCTCTAAGCTTTCCTCAGTTAACATTTCATTGAATTTATTAACTAGTTCTGCTAGTAGATCTTGAGCTTTTTGCACTCGATCATTAAAGCACCAAGTTTTCTCCACCATGTCATGGCAATCAGGGCAAACAGACATGGGCAAGTTGTCTCCTGCCGATATTTTGATTTGAAATAGCTGGAATATCTTCAAGCAGAAAGTAGTGTCCTGCATGATTGAGAGCTGAGTGGAGCAGCATTCCGCGCACAGGCGGCATCTTGTTTCCATAATGTCACACATATTCTTCGTTTAATTTTCGATTATTCCTAGGTTTTATTTATCATATTAATGATACTAAAAGTCATTTTTAAATTTCCATTTACATGTATCATGTAAAATGTAAACAACACCAAACATGGCGTTAGTGTTTGACATTTGACAGAAAATAATCTTCTGTTTTACTGGCTCTGGCCCACTGGCACTAGATGGGTGTTTTTTGACTCACATTCTAAAGTCTAAGCTCGCTAGTGTCAGTGTCACAAGATTGTCACAAGTGATGACGAACCCAGCAGGGAGATTCTAAGACTGGTGTCGTATCGTTTGAGACGAGAAGAGCGATTCTAAAGATAATTCGATATCGAAATCTGACAGTTTCACGATTGACATTAGTCGATATCACATTAGGTCTCGCTTGATTCAATTCGATATGTATATCTCTCTTCAATGTATGTATTTATCTCAACTGAGTTGAAAGTTGTTTAGAAATCGTTTTTTTTTTCATTTCTAATCTCTTCAAATATTCTGATTATATGTGGACTGGGAGTATCTGAAATGCTACCAATTCGTCACCAAGCAATGCTTGAAAATAGAGAACAAATTCTCAGCATAAGAAGAAAACGTCGGGATGCGAGGATACAGAGTGACCCCTTTGATTTACCCGAAAAAATGTTCATTCGATTGTATAGATTGAACAAAACTCTAGTTCGGAGGCTCATGAATATTATACTTCCACATATGAACCAACCAAAAATTGATGGTGGCATCAACAATAGCATAAAAGTGTTTTGTGCATTGAGATTTTATGCTACTGGGTCCTATCAAAGAGGTATAGGAGAAGAGACGACTGTGAATCTTAGCCAAACAGCTGTTCATAGAGCAATTCATGAAGTAACTGATACTATAAGAAATACGATGGCTGAAGAATACATATCATTTCCAACAAATATCAATGAAAGGAACAATATAAAATTCTCATTCATGGAGAGTTGGGCTTTTCCAGGAATCATTGGTGCTATCGATTGTACCCATGTAGCCATCCTCAAACCTGAAGGTGATGAATTCAACTTCATTAACAGAAAAGGATTTCATTCTATCAACTGTCAGTTAATATGTGATCATAATATGATAATAAGAAATGTCAATCCCAACTATGGTGGATCTACACATGATTCCTTTATTTGGAGAAATTCATCCATAAAAAATTATATGGAAACTCTCCATGAAAACCAAGAACCATCATGGTTGATTGGAGATTCAGGCTATCCCCTACAACCCTTCTTGATGACCCCTTTTATGAATCCTGCAGAAGGTAGTCCAGAATCACGATACAATTATGCCCATGTGAGAGCAAGGAATTGTATTGAAAGATGTATAGGTCTATTGAAAATGAGATTTAGATGCATTTTGAAGGAGCGTTCCTTGAGATATAGACCACAATTTGCTGCAAAACTCATAACAGTTTGTACAATCCTGCATAATATGTGTGTTGGTGGAAATGTGCCCCTCATTAATGAGATTGATGATGAAATTAATCTTCCTGACTTTGGTCAAGTGCATAATGATATTAACTTTGTAGCAAGGCAACAGGTTGCAGAGGGAATAGCTGTTCGAAATAGAATCGTACAACAATACTTTCAATAGTGCTGTTCATAAAAAACGTTCACCCCATGGAATATCTAATGTTTTCAATAATCCTGTTCACTTAATTAATTCTGTAGAAATAAAAAATTACAAACAACTAATTTTGTCTTTTTGTATTCTGGAGTTTGCACAAATTAGAAAACCATTCAGAAACAAATTTGATTTATTTGTAGAAACTTAAATAAATTGGTAAGGTACATTTAGAAATCAGTGTTATATAGGTACCTACTGCATCTCAAGTTGAAGCATTTTTCATTTGAGAATGAACCTGGCACAAAACAATAAATAAATGAAACAGGTACCCACCGAACAAACTAATAAAAATGAACAAATAAAAGGACCAAACAAAAAATAAATTATTCTGAAACAAAACAAAATCAGTCCTCTATAACTTCATTGGTGCATCATTGATTATTCTTGCATTTCGATCAAATACTGATTGGCTTGCCGATTCGAAATCTGAAAATTATAGAAAGCATGATTATAATTCTCATTGTGATTTGAATATCAGTGAACATTAACATCAGATAAGTACATACATTATATTTTCTTTTCTGATGTGATATTTTGGGTTTGTCTCATTTCTGTAATAATTAAAAATTAAATTTGGGTTGCTATTGAAAATACAGATTAGGTAGTCTGTCACAAAATGACGAAATGAAATTAATAATAACTTCACTTGAGAGTTCAAGGGTAGGTTTTACTTATATGAGTTTAGAGTATACCTACATTTTCCATATTCTTATTCAGATCACCCAATACAGTCACTATGCCACCTAAACTTTTCGAAATATCTAGGAGAACGGATTTTATTTCTCTAAGCTCATTGATAGTCTCCTTGTATTCAGAACGATAATCAGGCTTTCTTGTTCCAGGGAATTCTTCACTGGACAGTCCTATAAGTTTTCTTTTTGGTGTCTGTATATTTTCAGAAGGGGTTCTTTTGATAGGGGGAGCTGGACTAGTGAATGAGCATTCTGGCTGTTCAAGAATATGGTCTTCCACCTCATAATCCACAGCTTTTTGCAGAGGTAAACCATATTCTTCTGAATCCAGTCCAGTGAAGTGCTCACCCAATATATCTAAAAATTTCAGCTCCAATTCTGTTAAATTCGGTTCGTCTTGGGGTCCACCACCAGTTTTGTTTAAATTTTTCCTCACTGTCCCTGCTTTTTTCTTCAAATTATATTTATAATCAGTCCATGTCTGAAAAAGAAACAAATTCAAGTATGCTGAAAGGAGAGCTGAAACTATTTCTAAATTCTGGTATTGTATATCAATGATTCAATACATACCTTCTGCCACTTCTCAGTCGTTCGACTGCCCAATCCTAATGAATTGAGTTTGTTTGTTGTGAGAGTCCACAACTTCTTATAATAGGCCTTCCCATTTGGCCCCACAAATTTCCCTGTGGCAATAACTGGATTTTCTTCCATGCATTCTGCCAGCAATTCCCAATGTGCATCCTTAACTTTGAATGCCATCACTATTGCGATAATCAAAAAAAATTTTTTAAATAAGAAAACTGTTATTAATAAAGCTGAAAAACATCAAATGTCAATCAATTTTCGACAGATGTATTCCACTAGTTATAATTTCAATTCCATGGGCTCAAAAATCCGAGATAACCCGAACGTCTATTCGATATCGAGTCGATATAAAACGAGAATCAATTATTGCTCTCGTATCGACTTCGGCGAAGTCTCCTATCGTCTCGATACGATAGTTTCTTAGAATCTGTATGCTGGAGTGACGTGCCGACATTGCTGACGTGTCTTATTTTTATTTACCTGTCAGTGCAGTGAGTCAGTGACGTTTAATTTGAATATGAAATTTGTTTCAAATGTGAGGTGGTCTTCAAATTATAGAAAAAAATGAGAAGTGAGTGAAATTCTTCTAATAGGTGATAAGCAATGAAAGTATTAAGCAATGGATACCTTATACAACCAAACCAACAAGGTAATCCAGCAAACTCAACAGAGCTTTCAATTATTGGAAGGTAGCACAAATAATGCCTTGGAAGTTGAGGCTGATATACAGAGTAAATTGGAGTTGATAAACAGGTATTTCCCCGAAATACTTGAGTAACTTTCATTATATATATTTATGTTTTAGCAACTGTTCCAAATTGGAATTGTATACTTTAAAATTTCCAATAGATCAACGTCAAAATGCAAAAATGCGCGTTGATCAACTCAAATATGACTGTAGACACCTTCAAGCTGCATTGATAGCTGCTCAGCATAAAAGAGCTCGAAGGGAGGCGGCAGTAAATGAAAGGGAACAACTCCTCAACAGAAGATTTGCTCCAAACATTGATGCAACAGCTATAAACATTGATTATTCTATTCAGCATCAGAATTCTTTACATAATGCACATCAAGGTGTAGATGAGATGTTGCACACAGGTGTCAACACTCTGGAGTCTCTCAGGTCACAGAGGATGACTCTCAAAGGGGCACATAGGAGGATTGTAGATATGGCAAATACACTGGGATTGAGCAATCACACTATGAAGTTGATTCAGAAAAGAGCATCTGAAGATAAGGTTATACTGATACTTGGGATGGTCATCACTTTGATTGTCATTGCATTAGTGGTTATTTATTTTACATAATGTGATTCATTGGATTAAAAAAAAAACAACTCACATTGTCCACTACTAACATGCAGTATATTTATTTAATTGTTTGGCAGTGAGATTTTTGCTTAATGATTATTTGAAAATGTATGAATGTAGTACCTATGCACAGTCCATGATTATGTTCATCAATTATGTAGGTAGCTATTGATCATTTTCCATGTTATTTATTTCAGTCAGTAGCTGTATTACTAAAGGCCTTAGGTGAATAATATATATCTTTACAATCTATGTTATCAATGTTATCTACAAAGAATCTGATTTTCTTTCAAATCCAATTTGAAAATCCATTTTCCCTCTTAAAATTTTCAGATTCTTCTTATTTTTGCCATGAGAAATGGGAGGCATTGAGAAAATTAGGACTCAAAAGTGCGAATGGGTACTAGGTGGTTATTGCTAATAAGGTCAAAACGAGAATAAAATGGAAGAGGAAGAACGGTAACGTGTGACACTTGACCTTGACAGCAGCTGTTCCTGAGAATCCTGAGTGGTTTAGAGTTTTGATTCTTGTGCAATTTTTAGTTTTTATTATCAGTATTTTTGTTGATGGTTACAAGTTACAAATTATATACAGTGGAAACAATGGACTTTCTAAGAAGAATATTTGGCATACCAGATCAAGACGATTTCAGCAGGTTAGTATAAATATTCAACATTTCACTCTTCCACTCTTGTTCATTTTCATTTTGTCCTCTACCTGTTTAATTTCTATAGGTTCTCCAGAAATAATCCAGCGCCAAATTCTGAATCTTTTATCAACAGAGATGACACGCCTAGGGATGAATTTCCTAGAAAGGGTTTTGACATATTTACTGACCCCTTCCAGATGCAACAATATTTTGAGCAGGAAATGAATGAGATGCTGAAGAGATTTGGATTCCAAGGAATTGGTGATTTCTCCTGTATGTGAAACTCTATGAAATAAGAAATATTTGATCACTATGCTACCAAATATTTTGCAGTTGACCATCCTAGCATAGAACACCCCAGTGGGGAATTTGGAAACACTCCATATAGTTCACTGAGAGATCAGTTTCTGAAAAATGGCTATGAAAAACCATCAAAAAGAAATTCTGATAAAGTAGATCAAGATTTGGATGCTAAGTATAAAAAAGACAAACATTACTAGGAAGTAGATTATATTGAAACCTGCTTTTTATATCTTAGGGTGAAATCTGGAGATTTAGATTCCATTTTGAGTGGAGAATTTGACAAACAGATATCCCCTTATGAAATGCCACAATCTAAGAGTTTTTTTTATGGAACAAGTCATACTATGAAAACAGTTACCAACCCTGATGGAGTATGTATAATTTCTTCTAGTCCCAGGAAAGTAATTTATATAGTTATTTTATATTTAGTCTGTAGAGACCCATCATACAACAAGAGATAATCAAGGTAATGAGGAAACAACCATTTGCCATAAAATTGGAGAAAAGGAATATTGTGTGATGACAAAAAAAGATAAAAGTGGAAAGGAAGAAGTAACAGAGCAATTTGTCAATATGGATGCAAGTGAAAAAGATCTATTCTTGAAGTCAAGCAAGCCTAAAATCAATAGTGGGACTGATGGAAAATTTCCATTTGACAAATTTTTCAAATGAATATCATTTTCTTATATAGTACCTTTATTTGCATGAATATCATTTATGCTCTGTATGAAAATATACAAAATGTTGATTTACATATGCTTTTATTGCTTTTCATGCCCAAATCATAGGTTTTTATTATACAAGGGAAGAAAGAAGTAGACTATAGCAATATTTTCACAGGTTTTTCTATGTGATGTATGAAATAAATGATCAAACTGTCTGGTAATACTTTTATTTTTTTCCATTGATCATCATTGTTATATAAGTAGGTACTATACATTTTAGCTACCTTCTACACATATAAAAATGATTAAATAAATACCTAAGTATATAAACATATATTCTTCCTTTGATTTCCTAGTATTTCTGATGAATGAATTTCACTAATTTCAGAAAAAAATACACCAGGTGACAACGTTGGCGTATTTTTCAGACAAGCCATAATTTATGTAGTTTCAAAATTGATTAAAAATTATAAAAATGTTTATTGGATCAGGAAGTTCGAAATTTATTCATATTCGAAGCAATTATATAACGATCATGCAAAAATAAAGATCCATCAGTTAGGTGTTTTTCTCCAAAATCGTCTCCAGAATAAATATATATACATAACATATAAATATAACATACCTTCACATATTAACTGCTTTCTTAATCTTAATTATCTAATTCCACTAATTTCGTATGGGTTGAAATGTTGTTTTTTTTGGGTATAGTTGAATTCAGAAAAATATATACAGATGAATATAAAAAACATACGGAGACGTTTCATACGAACAATTGAAGTGAGAAAGTTGAAAAGTCTATTTCCATGAATTTGTCTCACCCTGTAGGCAGCGGTAGTCCGAAATTCGGTTACTTATTATCAGTTTCCTTTTTTGTTTTTTTGTTATTGAATTTCGATGAAGCAAATTATAGGGTGCAATTATTGCCAAAACTGTGGGTGATATCATGAGGTTTGTAGAAAGAAATTAGGCTTCAAGGGTGTAAAAAAGACACGTTGATATTATTCAAAATAGTTTTTGGAAGGTACTATACGATAGCACTGGAATATGTCTATAATTTCATGGACGACACTGGGTATATTGCAGTAATTGCAGTTCTAATATTCAGGTTCTATATGAATGGATCAAGTTATATGTACAAATGTAGGAACAAAATGCCGGCAAAAAGGATTTTCAATGCTTTTTGATGAAATTTACTAGGCCAGACGACCGGCCAAAATGGCATGCCCGGTTGGTAAATATATCTAAAGATTGATGTTCTATTCTGGTTCCAATTTAGTAATAAAATATACCTATACACATATTTTTCATAAAATATAGGAGCTTCATTATTATGAGGGAGAGGATTTCTGAATATTTCTTCAGCTCAGCAAATTATGTCATCGGTAACATTTTCTCGCGTTGAATTTTCCACATTCATCATTTCTCTGCATCTTGAAACTACCCATTCTGGAATATAAAAAAACAAATTTAAAATGTACTAATAAAGGTATTAAAATTTGATAGATATACAATGAGTTTTTTTATCGCTTGGTGGGCACGAAGATGAATCCCTATTATGTTCGAGGAACATCGTTCGTACCTAGGGAGGATAGGGAGAGGAGATAGGTGTTGGAATTTTTTTTAACTTTTGAAGATTACGTGTTCTTATTGAATGTTTTCAGTTATAGTCCATAGGCTATATTGAAAAAATGTCAATGGGGCTCCATTATTTTTACAGAATTGATGATAGTCTTCTCGATATTTTAACTCATTGGTTTGATTTGTCCATCCAATCTGTTAAGAAGATGCTTATACGATTATCATATATATAGAGCAATGAAAATTTATTGTCAGAATCCGGAAATATATAATCTCCATTTTCGTATTTCCTATCCGATATATTCAATTCACCAAAGGTGAAAATGAATGCGAACAGAAATTTTGAGCAAATTCGATCGAAAGTTTCTATTTGAGAGTGAAATAGTCATGCACAAAACAGGACACATCGAAGCAGATGGAGTTACAGCTCACTAGATTTTTTGCTCCACATTCAGCCGTTACCATTCAGCAGACAATGGTTCTAATAAGTATAATCAAAAGTGACATTTTGTATGACAAGCCAGTCGAAACAAAATTTGGGAGTCACATAACCCGTCAGACACTCTAAATTGAATTTAGATATTTAGCTGTCATTGGTCAAAATTGTCACATTTGATCCGGGAACATGCTAGTTTTTCTGCAAGTAATTAACAATTAATAAAATGATACACCTACTTAATTAATTAGTGTAGTGTATACTTACATTCTTACTATTATGTGTATAGTTGTTATTGTGTGCTTATGTATCGTTATTGTCTAAATGTGGAGAGAAGTATCTATCACCTTTATTGTGATTCCCTCATCATCTTCCTCTTTACAAGTAGAAAGTCGTTTTTCCAATTGTTCTTCTCTTTTAATTTCATCTTTCTTGGATTGCTTCTTTTTTTTGAATCGACTAAAAACCAAAAATCCATATATAAACATGAAATTCATCATAATATCCCCATCCCCAATTAATTTTCAACAAATTTCAAAAAGTGAGGAGGTTCTGTATGTTGGTATAAAAGTTCTTCACGTATTTCTTGATCCTAATGTATTAGCAGTAGAAATAATATCCCGATTTAGAATTCAAAGAAATGTTGAACCTAAGTTTGTCGGCTCCTGATATCATTATTTTCTGTAGATGTATAATGATTCCAAGGCTGCTGGCGAGCAGTGTATATTGAAGATGACCGCACTTCGTCTTCTTTGCACTCACTTCTATAAAATTCAGAACTCTGGCCTCAACAGTATCAGAAAATACGAAGGTGCTTTCATGAAACTGTAAATACCAATAGAAGGTCTTCAAAAAATGGCGAAGGTTTTAACCACAATTTTGGCGTAGCGTATTCACCAAATTTTTGCTCAATCGATAGTGGTAACTTATGACGTCATTATTTCACTTTCCATCTCGAAGATTTTTGAGAACTTTCTGAAAAAACTTTCATGAAGATCTTTAAAAAAATGTCGGAATTTTTGCGAACTTTTTCTGGGAGAACTTATGAAAGTCATCGAAAAATGGCGAAGGTTTTAACGGCATTTTGGCGTTGTAGCGTATTCACTGAGTTTTTGCTATTTCTAGAATAGTGAAATATGCAGTCATTACTTCACTTTTCAGTTCGAAAATTGTCGAGAACTTTGTCTGGAAGAACTTCTATGAAGGTCTTGAAAAAATGGCGAAGGCTTCAACGACAATTTTGTCGTAGCGTATTCACCAAATATTTGCTCAATCGATAGTAGTAACTTATGACGTCATTACTTCACTTTCCATCTCGAAGGTTTTTGAGAACTTTCTGAAAAAAACTATCATGAAGATCTTTAAAAAAATGTCGGAATTTTTGCGAACTTTTTCTGGGAGAACTTATGAAAGTCATCGAAAAATGGCGAAGGTTTTAACGGCATTTTGGCGTTGTAGCGTATTCACAAAGTTTTTGCTATTTCTAGAATAGTGAAATATGCAGTCATTACTTCACTTTTGAGTTCGAAAATTGTCGAGAACTTTTTCTGGAAGAACTTCTATGAAGGTCTTGAAAAAATGGCGAAGGCTTCAACGACAATTTTGTCGTAGCGTATTCACCAAATATTTGCTCAATCGATAGTAGTAACTTATGACGTCATTACTTCACTTTCCATCTCGAAGATTTTTGAGAACTTTGTGAAAAAACTTTCATGAAGATCTTTAAGAAAATGTCGGAATTTTTGCGAACTTTTTCTGGGAGAACTTATGAAAGTCATCGAAAAATGGCGAAGGTTTTAACGGCATTTTGGCGTTGTAGCGTATTCACTAAGTTTTTGCTATTTCTAGAATAGTGAAATATGCAGTCATTACTTCACTTTTGAGTTCGAAAATTGTCGAGAACTTTTTCTGGAAGAACTTCTATGAAGGTCTTGAAAAAATGGCGAAGGCTTCAACGACAATTTTGTCGTAGCGTATTCACCAAATATTTGCTCAATCGATAGTAGTAACTTATGACGTCATTACTTCACTTTCCATCTCGAAGATTTTTGAGAACTTTGTGAAAAAACTTTCATGAAGATCTTTAAGAAAATGTCGGAATTTTTGCGAACTTTTTCTGGGAGAACTTATGAAAGTCATCGAAAAATGGCGAAGGTTTTAACGGCATTTTGGCGTTGTAGCGTATTCACTAAGTTTTTGCTATTTCTAGAATAGTGAAATATGCAGTCATTACTTCACTTTTGAGTTCGAAAATTGTCGAGAAATTTTTCTGGAAGAACTTCTATGAAGGTCTTGAAAAAATGGCGAAGGCTTCAACGACAATTTTGTCGTAGCGTATTCACCAAATATTTGCTCAATCGATAGTAGTAACTTATGACGTCATTACTTCACTTTCCATCTCGAAGATTTTTGAGAACTTTCTGAAAAAACTTTCATGAAGATCTTTAAGAAAATGTCGGAATTTTTGCGAACTTTTTCTGGGAGAACTTATGAAAGTCATCGAAAAATGGCGAAGGTTTTAACGGCATTTTGGCGTTGTAGCGTATTCACTAAGTTTTTGCTATTTCTAGAATAGTGAAATATGCAGTCATTACTTCACTTTTGAGTTCGAAAATTGTCGAGAACTTTTTCTGGAAGAACTTCTATGAAGGTCTTGAAAAAATGGCGAAGGCTTTAACGACAATTTTGTCGTAGCGTATTCACCAAATTTTTGCTCTATCGGAGAAGAGTAATTTATGACGTCATTACTTCAATTTTCATCTCGAAATTTTTTGAGAAGTTTCTGAAAAATCTTTCATAAAGACCTTTGAAATTATTTTTGTGAACTTTTTGTGGAAGAACTTATGAAAGTCTTCAAAAAATGGCGAAGGTTTTAACGGCATTTTGGCGTTGTAGCGTATTCACTAAGTTTTCGCTATTTCTAGAATAATGAAAATATGCCGTCATCACTTCACTTTCCAGTTCGAAGATTGTTGAGAACTTTTTCTGGAAGAACTTCATGAAAGTCTTTGAAAAATGGCGAAGGTTTCAACCACTTAGCGTATTCACCAAATTTTTGCTCAATCGATAGTAGTAACTTATGATTTCATTACTTCACTTTCCATTTCGAAATTTTTTGAGAACTTTCTGAAAAAACTTTTATGAAGATCTTCAAAAATGGTCGGAATTTTTGCGAACTTTTTCTGAAAGAACTTATGGAAGTTTTTAAAAAATGGCGAAGGTTTTAACGGCATTTTGGCGTTCACTTCCCTGTTCGAAAACTGTGGAGAACTTTTTCTGGAACAACTTTTTATGAAGGTCTTCACTACTGTTTTGACATTTTTTGTCAAGTACATTTAGGAACTCTAATCATAACTTGGGATTCCAGCGGCGTACCCATATTTTTTTTCTGCAGGGTTTCACAGAAAGAACATAGTAGGTAAATATTAAAAATAGTTATTAATTATACAAGAGAAAAAAGTTCTGTGTTTGAATTTTAAAAAATTGCGAACTTGGTGTGGAAAAGAGTAATTTATGAAAGGTGACGATTTGTAATCTGTCGACAGAGATAAAATGTAATGTAACTTTTTTCCCGTTGAATAAATTTTTCGTTAGATTCGTTACAGACCCATTCTGTTATTGATATCAAATCTTTTCTTTCTGTGTTGGAATATTGGAGTAGGTACTTTAGGTTTTCTCACTTACTTTTTAGTTTTCGGGCTCTTCCTCTTATCCTTTACTTCACTATTCTGTTCGTTGTTGACGTGCTTCCAGATTCCAGTCTTATCAACTTCTTCCGAAATATTGATGGCCGATAGGGGTATGTTCATGACGTTTCCATTTGGCAAGGATATCTTCAGATTCCCCGCTTCCTTCTCTATATCTAGAGGGTGTTTTTCAGCTTCTACCTAATAACACCAAATAACACTACTCAATATGAAGTCTATAGATTCTATTCGTATCAACTTGGTATAATTAATGTCAGATTCAGAAAAACGTATTTGATATATTATTTTGTTAGTCTTATGAACCTTATAGAAATTATAGACCTACCAACTTTGCAGATTTATACCGATAAATGAAATTCTGTCAAAATTCCTAGCTGAATATTTGATTACTTATTTCAGTATTCATTTTTTATTAAGTACTTACTGTTTTGTAAATTTTTACGTACAGGCCATGACTCAAGAGTCCGTAGATGATGTTGAGCAGCAAAACAACAAAAACAACATATAAATAAATAAACCAAATGAATAATGAAAATTTATTGAAATAAATAAAATTCAAACAAGAAGATAATTAACTACAATACTTAACAATGATATAACAAGCAGATGGAATGTGTGAAATTGATAGGGAATTGGTGAAAATCACATTTTTTCATGAGGAACTAAATGCCAATCGTTAAAATGATAATAATAAAAACAAGTAGGTGATGCATCGCACAGAGTATTACAATGAAGTCTATAGTGTATAGTTGTTGATGATTTGTTGGTATATTGGCACGCCAATTTACATTAAGTATCATGTTTATATTTATACCTAATCATTGTTGAAATAACAAACATTTAACTCAATTTGATGTCCTGAATTACTGATACCATGAATTTTTTCATAAAAATGTATATCCAACTAAATACTAAACAAAGTCTCAGAATATTCCCATGACTCATCATCATTATTGCCAAATTAAATAGGTATTTCTTATGAATTCTACGACAAATCTTAATTCAATCTAGACACCTTGTCTAATTCACGAGTTTGTCCATAGAGGTCATGGTAGACTCATTTCATTTAATAAAACTTCATTAATATTGAAATACAAATTTCAAATTCGGTCAATACAATTAAAAGTAATATTTTTTTTCACGCGTCAGAGACGAAATACTTCTGGAATACGATACTAAAGTGATTCAACCCCCTTTCAGAATCGTGTTTTTTTCAATACTAATCCTATTCTGAAACGGCTTGTTCTATGACGTAAAACTTTTACACGGCAACATTTGGACCAGTAACCAAAAACATGATGCTTCATCCCTACTACAAGAAAAAAATTATGGTGTTTTTTTTGTCATATTGCTTGTTGTGTTTTGACCAAACGTTATTAGTATTTTTTTGCCAGCGGAACTAATAAGCTCATCAATTTTTTTCTGTAAAAAAATACATTTTTTGATTGCAATATGTTCAATGCTAGAATTCTATAGTAGATCAAGGTGTTTTAATTCACAGAAATCATTGGATCGATAGATTGCTACTTGTCCTGATTGTATAGCCATATTTTCAGCACAAATTTTCTTCGATTCAATGAAAAATTCCAGAAGGTCCAAAACATTTTCTGGATTTTTATGACTGTATGAACGAGAGAAAAAGTACATAATTGTATTTCTCGTTATTTTTCTACAACATGGAACAATCCGTTCCACTGAATCGCATTAATATTTTTTGAATTATATGATTTCGAGAGAGGGTTGATCAATTCATTTTATAATACACAGAATATACTAACTAAATTAATTATTATCACATTGTTTCACGTAAATCTAGTCTTTTCCTATAATTCAAAATATATCTATTTTTTCTTTTCAGGTTTGCAGTGGTATCTATCCGAAACACATTTTGTCGATAATGCGGCCCTAATAAAAAAATCAGAAAATAATCGTGGACAACAATTTACAGTTGTTCAATTCCTCGTTTTCATCTCCTACAAAGAAGACCGTTTTTGTCAGCAAAATCCTTTCGAAAGATAACACTGAGCCTTTTATTAAAAAACTGTTGCAACAATAATTTCTCTTAGATGACTGAAGTCATTTGTCATCGTATCTTTATGGCATCGAATTTATCTATCATTATCACCCATTATTAAACACTCAACAATTAAGCCAAAAGGGTTCGAATCCAAACGACTGCAGCCATTTTTTTGATGACCCAAGAAAGTGTTCGGAATCACACGTCATATCTTGCTCGCACAAGTTTCTCGAAGACTTTTAGAGTTGCTCGTAAGAGGGCAACCGAATGACGGATAAAAAAAAAATAAAGCAATATACAGGGTGTTCCTGAAAGGTCTGTACAAAATCTCAGCACATATTCGTCAGGTTGAAATAAACCGATTCAAAGCAACTTATCTCAGCCCAAAATTGCTCCATTTCCGAGATACAGGGTGGTAAAGTTGAAAGTTAAAAAATAGAAATCGAATTTTTCAAAATGTATGAACATTTCCAAACGTTTCAGTTCAAAAATTGGTAGCCAGGAGAGCTTTTTGTGATGCAGAACCCGAGTACGGGCACTTTTTCACTGTGGCCATGAGAGGACGCTCACCAATGCACTTCTTATAGTTTAGAATAGCAATAACTGTGAAAACTACGTTAATATGTCATTCACTGCCCTGATCGATTCGTTGTGAAGGTTCAATAAAGCTTAGAATTTTTTATCAATCGAGACGTTAAATTTTTTACACGAGCTAAAGCACCTTTATAATTTGAATCAAGTCTTGGATCTCCAATCTTCCACGGTAGAGTTACTTCACATCGCCCGTTTTTGTAACATATTTCATTGTTAATGAAGTCTACTGAAGAATTACTCCGAAAATTTTTCAAATCTCCATCGTCATTTGCGTTTTCAATTGTTTGCAGAGCAAGAGTAGACACCAAATTTGTATTTACTCCGAAGCAATAAAAATCGCTTGATCCGTGTAAAGTCCAACCAAACATTGTATCTAATGCTGTCAAATTTTCAGATAGTCTTTTTTGTTCACCAGTTACTATTTTCCAGTAATTATCAGCACCGATTAATAGATTGATACCATTTTTCTCGAGCTCACCATTAGCACTAGTATCTGCTAAATGGAAATTCATAGAAAACTCTTTTATTAATGGGTCTTTAACTGATGGAGGATTGGAAGAATCAAAACATATTTCTGGAACTTCATCTATCGAATTCAGAGAAATAATCAGGTCATCTACATGAAATGATTCAAATTAACGCTATTGAAGTTGTCAGAAAATATGTAAAATAATTTATCGACTGTAATGTCAAGTTATTAATATAATTCTTCACAATAACTTTTTTCTCAGTGTAGTTTTCCACTTCTTTTCTTGAGGAAATGATTTCCTGAATATTTTCAAGCAATATATTTTTTTTTGGAACATTTGCATTATTTTGAATAAAAAATGCTATTATCTTCGTGGATGTAATTTGGTCAGTGAATGAGCAGTGCAAAAATAGATTTTTCAAAATAATTTTTTGGAGTGTACTTGTCGATTTTTATTTTTTAAATTTACCACTCTTCATCTTCGAAACTGAGCATTTTCGGACTGAGGTAAATTGCTTGAAATCGACTTATTTTGACCAGAGAACTATGTTCTGAGATTTTGTACAGATCTTTCAGGGACATCCGTAGGTACTTCACGAAAGTATGTACTGTAATTATATTAGATTTTCCACGACTAGCAATGTTTTTCAACTATTATAGTTCCGTTAAACCCTTGTTGAAGTGAACAAAATATTTTGTAAGTGTATAATTTATATGCGCATGCAAATCTAGTACATTCTGGTACATTATATTTTAGAAAATAAAAGTGGTTCGATTTAAAAATGTTCACATCTTGTGCGGTGTAGAAATATCTTTCAGCTGCAACAGTTTTATCAACTGTGGAGGGGTTCATTATATTGCATTAGTGGTCAACAAGAAAAAAAAACAAAGACCATCAGGGTATTATCTACCACTAAGGCTCCTTAACAAATTGATTGCACTCGACGTATTGCTTATCTTTGACTAGTTTGGGACCTAAAAAGAACCTAGACACTCCAGTACAACACCCCACCTCTTCGTTCTCCAACTGATGCCTTTTGGACATCTCAGGCATGACATCATCGAGAATTTTCAGTTCCCGCCTGGTGAAGATGCAGTCCAAAGATTTCCTGATGCCTATCATGACGACCAGCATCAAAGGGAAGAGTATCGAAGTTTGGCTGAAAGATTTTATCAGCCAGAGGCAGACCAGGCACGCTATTTGGATTGCTGTGAATATGTGGACCTTCTTGATCGGTACCTGAAAATAACCGTGATACACTTTTCGTAAATTCAGGTCATCGTATCAGCACCACAATAGATTGATTCTATTTCATCGAAATATCCATATTTCGAGAGTTATTCTCATCATTTTGATTCAATTGAGATTCACATTTGATACCTTTCAACTTATTGAATTCTTGCAGGTTTCAATTTCTTTTTAATCATTTTTCATTTCGATAATCTCCAACATTTGGCATGCATTTCTTCGCAGATTTCGCACAAGGTGCTGTTTTTTTGTGTGACCTTGAACAAATATTCCTCACGGTATCTCTAACACCATATGTTACAAAATCTAAAAGGAAACATGTGCCAAATAATGGGCAGAAATAAAATAAACAATTCACCTACGAGAAAGCCAAAATGCTCAATGTGGAATGAAATGCTAGATTTCAATGTTTTGCGTGGCATATAGCCAGGCAAGTAGTTGTTTTTCTCTCGTTATCTACCATTTTCGTTCATTTATGAACTTTTGTGGAAATGACTGAGCTTTGTGTATTTATTTGAAAATAATTCAGTGATTCTGAGAAACATCGAATGAGAATTATATATTATTTATTACCTTTGAAACCAAAATGAGTGGAATTTTTTTATCAATAGTACTCAAAATATGTATCACCCTGTATATCGATTTACTCATGCATGCTGATCCACTCAATGTACCCACAAAATCTTAGAGCTATATCTATAAACAATAGTGAAATATTTAAGATATTGGTCGAATAAAGAGATGAAATGAAAAACTATTTTTATCGCCATTCCAATACCCTTCCAACACTTCATTTACCTTCAAAACCATTTGAGAATTACCACCAACTCTTTTCATCAAATGGCACACCCTGTATATTTTCATAGGAAATTAATTGCTGTTTCATCCTAAATACAGCGACATATCATACTCGATCAGTAGTTATTTATGTAAATATTAATATTAAAAATCATAGATTGGTACCACCAATATGTCGTTAAGACCATTGAAATTGAAAGAAGTACCAATGACAATGGCACATTTTTGTCATTGCAAATACTGCAACATTCCATCTTGATTCAAACCGAAGAAACATTCTTGTTCATTCGTATTCTCAATTATATCAAAATCTACTTCCTACTTTCGGAGAGTGCAACAAAAAATCTCAAAATTCAGAATTTTTTTTTTAAATTTCTAGGAATTATCTCGCGCAATTACGCCATCATACATTTCACTATTTACCTTCCTCAGGAACATATAGTCTGGCTGATACTTGTTGGGCATGAACATGATCAAGATCCTGTCGAAAAATTGCAGTCCTTTCAGTGACGCCACGCCCATATACAAAAACACGCCGAACAATACTGGCATCGGTATGTGACTCAACATGGGCGTCAAAAAAACTGACAGACCAATGGAGAGGAATATCAAGATGTGCGTCACCCGCTGTTCTCTGACCCCCAGGAATTGGGGTTTGTCCCCCGGGGCAGCACATTCAGACTCCAGCCTCAAAGAGTGGACGTGCGTTATCGATAGCACGGTGGCAGCTACGAACCATGGCAGGCCCATCACCGAGCATATCTGAATGAGGATGGACAAGATGAAGAGGTCCAAATGGTATCCGCAACCTGAAATGGGCAAACAGCGAGTTTAGTGAAGTTCCATAAATGATGGAACGGAGTGTCCCCAGAGCGGATCCTTGTGGAACACCTAGAGAAGATAATAAGCGCATTATAATTTCCCCTCAGACGATTCATGGCTCTCTCTTCGCTGATATGGAGTGCCAGAAATGATCGTCATCTTATGACACTCGAATGACATCTGTCAAGGAAATGTTCGAAATTGAGTCCAGCAGGATATTTTATACCGCTTTTCAACTAGGAAGATTAAGAGATACAAATGGTATCCGCAACCTGAAATGGGCAAATAGCGAGTTTAATGAAGTTCCATAAATGATGGAACGGAGTGTCCCCAGGGCGGATCCTTGTGGAACACCTGGGGAATATAATTATATTATATGAGATCTTCAACTATCTTTTATCATTGATCCATAAAACTCATATCTTGACTTCTTCTTCAGTAATGTTGAGTGATTATATAGCTATAGGATTTCAAAATTTCCGCTATATTCAACTGTGAAAAGCTGATACATGCGTAGTAACGATCTTGGCATGAGGGATGCAGATATATTCCCCTCTTCATTTAATGTTCCATTCCTTACCTTTCTTCAGTTTGAATTCCTTTCTATTGACAATAACGGCCGTGATTTGCTGATCCATGAAGATCAATATGGTGCCTAGTAGAGCGGGAGGTAGGGCGACTATCACCGAATACAGGGGGTTGTGGTTAAACGGGGCGATTATCCACCCTCTGTCGGGCAGGGTCGGTTTGAATTCGTGTGGAACCTCCAGTTTTGGGGTCGGTATTCCGACCTTATAGTCTAGGAAGGTCATCGATAGTATTGCTATGATTACGGCGAAGTCACTGATGAATTGACGAACCTAAAACATTGAAAAATTTCATCAGAAGTTGTTGCTCTGGTGGATAAGCTATTGAATAGAAATGTACTGTAGTTCAAACTTTGACAGTCATTAAAAATGTTCCATATTGAAATCAAAAGTAACTCTATTTATACTAGAGCCATGATGAAGTCCAATATGATGTAGGCATGCCTTTGAGTGTCTTATTTCCTCATGAGTTCATTTTCACTTACTTTTGATGGAAAGAAAAGTGCATTTTTGAAATCTTTCAGGTACACGGATATCAGAAATGTTCCCAAGAAGAGTAAAATTGACATCAGGAAAATATCTGGAGCATAAGGAGGTGTGAAGCATCCTTGACTCAATGTGCCATTGAGTTGCTGAAAAGAAAAAACTTGCAAAGTGAGTACAAAATTATTATACGCATGTTATTAGAATGTGCCTTACCAAGCATTGAGTTTGGTTAACAACTGAATTGCTGGTTATATCTGGGTATATGGATGGACTAGTATCATTCAAAAAACAAGAGCAATCCGTCGAGAAATTCGTGAAACCACTCGTGTTAGTAGGAAATTTCTTTCCAATGGCCAACACGTTTTCCACAGCCTAGAAAATAAATCCAATGTCATTGATACTCCTACACAGAGAAAAACGGTCCAGGTACACAAGTACACTTGAGTAAAATTTAATACCCACAAATATATTAATGAACTTTTGTACCATTACAATAGGTGAATTTTTTTTTCTGATATCGACTTCCAGTGGCAGGTTAACTATGCTCCTGGAACAGGCCATCTTTCTTGTGCTTGATTAATTTTTATCGATGTGTTTAATACTCAGTATACAACAATCCACCTAACATTAATATAATTGTCCCTCAATCCTTGTTTTCTATGAGTGAAAGGAATAATTCTGCCATTATTACCAGTTTAATAACAACAGGTAACAGTTCACTTGATTTCTCTGTTTCGTCATCATTCGGCTAGTTTCGAATACCCACGATTACGCCACGAGCTGACTGCGCAACTCTTCTGCACTTCATTCCATTAATGAACTCAGTCTGTATCTGTACTAGGAATATGTACCTTTGGTGTTTGCGAACACTTATGCGTGCCTTTTTCTATTCTGGAACATTTATTGTGTTGTGCATGTAAGTTAAGTGATTGTGACTATTCCAAAAACATTGATCCCAGTGAAATTATCACTATGGAGCGACTAGCCCCAGGTCGAGAGTTGAAAAATAGAAGCAGCATAAGCAATTCATCGACGACACTTTGAAATAGCAGGGTTTGGCGAAGTTTACGCAAAACTCTTCTTTCTTTCTTGGTGAGTAATATACCATTCCTTTTTCTCCGTGCAACAAGAAATCTTTTTGAGCACACACATTTTTTAGTGATATGTTTTTCTCCTTCCGAAAATGATTCTTAACCCTCTAGTTCCTTATGTTGGTTGATCATTTGCAATTGATTGTTACATCTGATATTATATGTCCGTTTTATTCGTGGTTCGTGCCATTTATTTTTCATTTGAAGAGGTTATATTTTGAAAATATCTCCTATTTTGATTGTGATCTCTCAATATTTTTATCGAGTCTGCTCTATGGTGTCGAAATCTCAGTAGGAAGTCACTTGTTAAGTAGTTCAAATTTTGTTGAAGATTGAAGAAATATATAATCTCAGAAAAATAAATGAATTGATCTCAAGTTATTACCGAAACAGAGGAGTTTTTATAGTTATATTTCACAAAAGCCGAGAAATAAATTGGGAAATATCAAAATGAAAAGACTCTCTACTGTGAATGTATGCAAAAAAATCTTATTTCTGATAGTATTAGGCACACGGAAAAAAAATTACAGGAAACGAATCTTGATTTTTCTTATTCGATGTCCCTGGATTTGAGTCAAAGTAGAGTTTTATAAAGAATGGCCATATTTGAATGGGCTCACGGGACGTTCGCTACCTGTTAAGAGTTTATTCTTCCAATGAATCTCTTGAAATAGGATTATTTGTTTGAATTTTCAAGAAAATAATAGGAGAAATTGAACACATTATATAGAGGAATTTTCAAATTTCAGGGTGCTGATGGTAATGATGTACCTGATTGGAACTTGATGCCACTTGATCTAAATTCAAGTGGACCTAGTACCCCCGCGGCCCGCAGATACTCCATCAACGTCTGAAATATATTTGTATATATGAGTCAGTTCGTCAACTATTGTATATTGAAAATAATTATTTCAAGTTCATTTATTCATGTAGTTTGTACTGAAATTACAAATGACTAAAATATATTATATAATTTCGTACCTATATTTTGTACAATGTTTTTTCTCTTCTATAGAATCACCATCCCCATTGTGTCATACCTTGAAAATATGAAATATTTCTTGCTCCAATATTCAACAATAAGCACATATCCAAAATGAAAGATATGCAACAGCTTTCAAAAATTGATTCTGTAATGTTGATGAACAGTTAACCAAAAATAATACCAAATGATTTGATTCTTCTCATTTATCATTTTTTGTTATTCAGGAATAAATGTCTATGGGTCTGCATCATCTGAAAAAGTGGACCAGAAATGATCATTCCGATTCATGATTTTCAATGTTTTTCACGGGTGCACTTGATACTCGTAGACAATATCTTCAATTTTTCCTATATCCAGGCCATTGAAAATCAGGAATCAGAATGATCGTTTCTGAACTCCTTTTTCAGGTATGCACATTGGACATCCCCAATATCTCAATTGAATTGCACATCTGAGATAATTAAATTATGTTCCAGAGACAAGTAATTTATGATCCGAGGACAACTTAATAATGTTTCTGGAATAATTGTATTCTTCAATGGTAGTAATTAAAGGATATACCTAACATCAGTTAGATATATCTCAGAGAATATCACCTATTTTTCTGCAACAGCATGCTTTTTCACCTGTGGCAACTATATAGTATTGAAAATTTATTAAACTATTGAATAACTATCATCGAAGTGTGCACCTACAACAGGTGGAGAAGTCTGTAGGATAATATAGCAATGTTTCAAAGGGAATTACCTAATGTTCAATGGTAATTAAACTGTCTAATCAATGTTATTCAACACTTCAATAATCCTGAGTTGATTTTAAATCTATTCATTCATTAACGATCAATGAACTATATAATTGAGTGTCTGTTGCAGGTATACCAATTCAGGTAAAATATTTTATCTACCACTATCATACTGTATATCTGTCCCATATAGTATTCAAGTTTTTAACTGTGACTATTAAATGTTTAATAACCATTATTAAAGTTTTTTCTCTGTGTATGTGGTAATTGTCTTATTTTGCAACCAACCTTGATTATAAAAATGAAAGCTATCAACGTGGCAAAATTTTCTTCAGTGAACCTGGTGATGTAGCAAACGAATGCGCTAGCATCTATTGCTACCAATAACAACAGAATTACTGCTATCCATGTACCAATCCAGAACCTAAATAAATCGACATTTCAATTTTGAAAATCATCAACTACTATTGAAAAAATAAAGATCCACCGATATTGTCATCAACAGTACTCAAAATATGTATACCGATCGGAATGCTATGACATGCTATCGATCTTGATCACCCTGGAGGTATATCTTTTTACCTGAAGCTCATGTAATCCCATCCCATTGTCAAACAAAAATCGTAGACGATAGTCTCGAACACCAAGACCGGTCCAGTAGACCCCAATATCGTCAATGGCTGACCGGAAAACAAGCCATAAATCATGCCGCAAACAAAACCGGAAACCAGGCTCTCCATGGCGGCCATATTGCGACCTGTTGCTTCCGATAGCAGCCCCCCGAAAGTGATGATAGGAGAGAGACAGGCGAAATAGAGGAAAATCCAGGAGGCTATGCATTGCGTGGAGAATGCGTCTTTGATGTCCGACCAATACCTTAAACAGAACACAAATTGAAATATGTTCAGTCGACTTTTATCCATGAGTTGTCTACCAAGGTGATTTTCTTTTGACATCGTTGATTAATCCGCCGAAAAGGTATCCAGTCCTGGCTAGTCCTGATTCTTCGCGTAGCTTTTGTTCTTCTTCCTCTTCATCAATGTCCTCCGTCGGCTTTTCTGGGGGTCGCTTTCTCTGATCCTATCGACAAAATATTATACTTTTGTTATATTATTGATGATGACGTCAAAAGGAATTAAATTGTTACGTATGGGGAGGAATCATAATTAAATCATCATTCTCAAGGTTTCCAATCAGCAATGCAGTTTTCCAAATTTAAACATTCAATCTTTGTGAACTGTTGAAAAACATTGAGTTATTTTGGAATAATTGATATCTTTGTGATACTCCTAACATTGAAAAAATGGCTCCTAAGGAAGCTGAAGATGATATTTCCTGAATATTTCTGAAACGCCATGTGATAAAATGATGCAACTTTATACAAAAACTAAAAGTCCAATGCCCAATGAACTGATATTAAAGTTGTTCGTATATTCCATTCAGGAGTGGATAATGCAGGGTGGGACTACTTATATCATCAAATATTACTCAAACTTTTGTATGCATATTTTTCGACAATTCAATCTCGGATTATGAAAATATACATATTTCTACAGAAAAAAAAAGTGAAGAAGATAATACAAAACTACTCCATTCTTTTGCATTTTTTCCACAGCCACGACGATTTATTGCCATGTAATGTACTGTGAAGAGTTGTAGATATTCATATTTCAAGATTACATTGTCGAAAAACATGCACACAAAAAATTTTTGAATATTTGTTGCAGTTCCACCCTGTTTTATACACTCTTGAATTGAATTTTAGAATGACCTTATATTCGCTGCATTGGGCATTGAAGGTTTACCGCATTGGATAATTTTATTACATGGCGTTTCGAAAATATTCAGGAAATATCATCTTCAGGAGCCCTTTTCAACGAAGCCTTAGCTCCCTAAAGGTGCCATTGTTCTTCCTATTTTTGGTCGAAAAAGCTGCTGGTAAAGTGAGACAAGTAAAAAGGTATACCCTGTATATCAACAACAGTATCAAAGATCCATAAAACTTGTATATACCTGAGATGGTATGGCAGCAGGCGGTTCTATTCTGATAGCAGGGTCCCATTCGCCAGGTGGCAGCACTGTCACCGCGTCGAGAAACTCGTCAACGCCAGCCAGTAAATGATCTCTGCTACGGGCCCGATAGGCTACCTCGTGGAACACCTCGTCTGACATGAGGGTGGCCATTGCTCTGCCGATTTCGTGGTAACCTGAAATTCATGTAGGTACAAGGGACAAAACATATTGAAAATCTAGCTACGAATGCTATGATGGAATATATTCATCATTCCTCCACAGAGGGCTTTCAGAGATATTGTGAATAGACTCAAAGGAGGGTTTGAAGCTTCAGTTTATTATTCGAATAAAGATACAGGTTCCAAACTATTGTTTTTTTCGCAAAATCTGAGGTTATGTTCTCAGAGGTTCTCTTCTGCCGCGTTCAGGTTTTCATGATTTGTGAACCGTTCTGAAACAGTCCTAGAATTCGAAACGACTGCGCTAGTTCTGCGCAGTTTGAGAACGATTCTTGAACAGTTCTGAAATCGCAACCCAAATGAACCTGTAACGTGTATTGTTGACAGTTATGGCCTAAGATCGTACCTGTTGCCGATGAAAGTGGGCCGAAGAGGATGAAGAGGAATCTCGTGGGTACCGGAACTTCAGTCAAATCGCCCAGTATGGCAGCCGAATTGAGTCTCACGAAAGCTGAGACGGTTTTTTCGAGGAATTCGACTTCTCCCACCAAAATGTTACTGGCTTCAGCGCCAGCGGGGATTTTACGCATGAAAGCGAGGTTATGTTGATCGTTGGCCAAGTCGGTGGTGCTGGAAGGACGGTTGATCGTTGCGTAGCTAGCGCTCTTCTTTATCGATGGGGATTTTTCCAAACCTGGATGTCAGTTTGGAAAGTTTTGATAGAATTTTTGATCAAAGGCACATGGCAGAAAGCAAACCAGCAAGCAAGCAAGCAACTCATAGCTAGAAGGTGCGGAGTTACGATTATCATTCTTATAATGCAGTGGTTGAACATTCTACTATGTGAATTTTCCCATGAGATGATAAAAAGTGCCATAGAACGATATGCATTCAAACAAAGTATCTAACACCAAAGAAAAATGAAGCAAATTTCTAGCATGAAATATGGGTCAATTAATTTCCTAATTTTATATACATATTATTTATATACGATTCTAGTTCTTAACTCAAGACCATGGTACTACATGCATGTACCCGAATGACTTTATGTACAGGGTTTTTCACATTGAGCGTTAAATAGAAGAAATTTGATGGTATGTATAAATTGACATGATCTTAGGGTCTAAAATATTTTAAATGATAAGACGTTGCCAGCTTCTACTAGAAAGCATCAGCAACATTGTTATTTCAAATGGAACATTCTGTATTTCGTTGCATTTCCAGATTCTCCCTGGAGAGCAGAGATATAGGGTGTTCAAAATCGATATTTTTCATTTTTAGGGCTATTTTGTGTCGAAGCTATTCATCATTGATGATGATTACATGTCCCTATCTTAACTTTCGAATTACTATCTACTGACATTTAATTAGAATAGATACAGGGTGGTCAGAATTCTGAATCTTGAACTACCCTGTGTTTGTTCCAATTGAATGTCAGTAGATATATATATATACAGGGTGTTCCATTTTCTAGTAAAAGCGGCAATGTCTCATGGTTCAAAATATTTTGAACGTGTAGATTATGCCAATTTATACATACCGAAACGTCTAAATAACGTTCATCGTGAAAAACCTTGTATTCTACTCTCTATTTCTATATCGTCAATATTGTTTAGCTTCAAAACTGTAACACTGAAATTCTCAGAGATACCTAGTGATCTAACCTATGACGTGAATACTATATGAAGTAGATACCATGTTTTGTTTTCTACTTCCCTAGCAAGATAAGTACGAGGATAAGTACTTTTTTATATGGATAACCTTGTATGCACGGACAGATCGAAAAATCATGCAAAACATGCTATAGCGTGTTCAATTTTACCCTGTCCTGGAACATGGAGGAATTTTCCAGAATCAGGTGATTTTCTGGAAGGATCTGATGAGTAAAAGTGTTCCTCGACTAAAACAAAATGAGAATGGATTCTTTAATATTGTATCTAAATCATACTTCACAGAAAACTATCGAATTATGTTGTTGTCATCAAGGTGGACTTGATAATTTTCAAGCAGGTAATATTTTAATAGCTACCGATCAACATATGACACAATTTCAGTAGAACTAGGCATGATGTGGAAGTTCTTGTTTGGTAAATAAATAATAATCCACAGCACCAAGTTTTTGTTAGTTGCATTTTCCCAGCCCCAAAGCAACGTTAGAACAATGATACATCTCTGATTGTTCGTAATTCATATTTTTGATTACTTTCAATTTTATGAAAAGAATATCAAACATCAACCTGAAAATGGAACAAATTTTCGCAAATTATAAATACATCGATGAAGAAACTGATTACGGTTGAAGAATTAACAATCAGAGATTGTATTTCGTTAGATCACCATTTCCATATTTTCTGACCTGGCACCAAAATAAAAGAACCATTTTTCTTCACCATTTGACGGTCAGCAACAGAATCAGCAGACTCAGATCGCTTTGGTGGGGCACCTATACACATCAGGCATGGTCCATCTGAAAATATTTCGACCTTCATCTAAAATGTAGCTTTGTTCTATGGTCATCCCACTAAACTATATGGTGAATAATTGAATACCTATTCAACGAAACAAAATTCCATCTTGACAGAGTCGTTTTCTCTCGGCACTATTTTCTTTAATAATATTATTATCAACTGACAATAAGGGCAGACGCAGTGCCTATTATGCACAGAAGTATAAATTCACATACAGTACAAAGTGAGTGGTATCGTAAAAACATAAGAATCGAAAATATCGACAATAAGGGAAATCAACACAATAGGTACAGTCAGAAATTAGAACTCTGGAACGCGTTGAAACCATTTTTGAAACTGTTCATGCTTGGAGCTGTCACAACGGCCTCTGGTAGCGAATTCCATAGTCCAAATACTCTATTGACGAAAAAACTTATGTCCTCTCAGCCTGGGGTCCGTGTTCAGCTCAGAAATATGCTGCATGTCATGGAGAATGTGCCGTGCAGTATGCGGTAGGTCAGAATAGCATTTCCTCTGGCTCGTCTGTCTTTTAGAAATGGAATCTTCAATCGGGTTAATCTATCTTCATAGGATAAGTGAGGGTACCATTCAAGTGGCCAGATGTTGGGTTCTTTCTCAGAGTTGTATGTCTTCCACTAGGTGTGGAGACCGGATTTGAACACCATACTCTAGTAGAGGACGTATATACTACTTGTATAGTTGACCAAATAGTTGTGGAAAGATGCGACTGTTTGCTTTGAGTACAATATCTGTTACATGACCCGACCAGGAGAGTTTTTTGTTGATGGTTATACCTAGATCACGTTGCTCGTCCACGGACGACACTGTATTGTTGAATAAACGGTAGTTGTGGAATGGATTGTTATTGAAATTCCTATAATTTTCGAAAAACAAGTGAAAGGTCTACGGTGTTCTAATGGGGTCAAAGAACTATGCATGAGTTTTGGTGGCGTTGAATTCAACTAGGTTGTTGGTTTCCCAGGCTCTAAAATTGGCAAGATCTTCATTGATAGCGTTGACCTTGCGTCGTCATGGTTTTTTAGTTTCCTGGGGAGAAATAGAAATTCTGGAAGAGAACGCAGTATGTTTCAGTATAGTTTCGAATTGAGAACTGAATTTTCATACATCGCAAACAAAATTGAATGAACCCTTCTTCTTCTTCCTTGTTTCTTTAACGTCGGCCTTTTTCTGCTACTGATGCTAATCACCGAGCACACTACCTCCAATCGGAAATTTTGCTGAATCCTCTGGTGTTCCAACCAGAGGTAGTGATCTTTAACGAGTCCAACATACATGGCCTCGGGACGTTACCCTCCGAAGGACGGCATATCCGTACCATATCTTGTGCTCTATGATATGGTAGCTGTAGCTATGAGATGCTATTTCGCTACAGATGTGCGGACTCACGTGGCGTTTCCTCGAATGGTCACCCATCCAAGTACTAACAGCGCTCGACACTGCTTTACCTCAGATATCGAACGGCTAGTGCCTTACCTGAGAAGCTAGGGCGAGAAGGTGGTGAATGGAAGGCAGCCAAATATATGTGACAAGAGGTACCATCAAGGCTTCAAACTCAAGACGAACCTTTCCCTAATGACAAGGTATATTTAAGGAAGAAGGAATTATTATGACAGAAGTGTAAAGAGGATGGCAAGGCTGAGGCAAGAGAAGATCTCAAGGGCCTACTTGCCTTGAATGACGCCACCTATACTACCAATACTAACATTGCATACATATCTCAACTTCCCCACTTACTTTTCGAAGACGAATGATTCCGCATCTCGTTGAACGACCTTATGAAAGGCAACCCGTGTTGCTTCCTTTGGTGCTGGTGCCTGTGCCTCTTCAGCAATGCCTCTCGCACCCTGTCCTTTTTGTCAAACGTCAGACCGTTATTGTTTACCATGTTGTCCAGTACCAGATCGGCTATCTGCTCGATGGTACCCGCCTCCATGTCTAGAATAACGGTTCCGTTGCGCAGAAGGCTGCGCAGCTCGAAAAGCGAGTGCAGCGACAGTGTTGCCACGTGTGGCTTGGACCACCTGAAACACAATCATTATGTTGTGATTTCACCGATATGGTGAATCTAGATGATTGATAGATTCAAATTAGCAACGAAAGAAGTAAATTGATATGTGAGTTTGACACTTATTTCGAGATTCGCTTCGATTTCCCTTCTACATTGGGAAATTCAATACCAGTCTTCTGAGATAGGGTGACAGTGAATATTTATTCATATATCAAGGGAGGAAAGGTATTCATTTCCTTCCGCGTGTGAAGTTTGATTTTATCAACGAACGCATTCAGGCGGTCTATCTCTTGATCTGAATAATTATGTATTACAGAGGTATAGTATGCCATGGACAATTGACGAAAGTATGTTTGACACTTATGTCAGTGCGTTCAGAAAACGAAGAAGCAGATGATATCATTAGATTTCTGAAAGGATATAATTGTTACTTGTTTCATAATAGTGATGAACACAAAGATTCTATAGGAATATCGACGCCAAAGGATGCATGCTGATGCCAATTTTATATTTGTTTCTCCCCGTGGGAGTAAATTGGTAATGTTGTTTCCTTATAGCAGCAAACGACTACTTTCGATTCAGTGAGCAAATTATCAGTAGACACCTGATCTTACCATTTCTGCTGCTACGCAATATTCCCAACGTAACTATGTCATACAGGCATATTAATGAATATCAGCAGTAGCTAAGAAATTATTGGAATTTTATAGTTTTGTAAGGAAGCTAGGATACCGTGTTGGTCACATATAACAGTTGAAAATTGAGGCAGAAAGTGAATATTCGACTTTCAATGTATCCATTCGGTAATTATAGAGTGTCTCATTAGTAGTACACCTATGCCGATATCAACTCAAATTAAGAATTAACCGTTGTTGGCAGTTGGGCAATTGTATGGCTTGAAGATAGAATTATAGGCGTGGTTGACGTGACGTAGTTGACTGATTCACTAGCGATGTTTTGCTAGGGACAAGTGACGGAAATCATTTATATCTAGTCACATTGTGGAGCAGCATGAAATTAGAACTAGCTGTACCAAGAAGCCACCTGTCAGCAGTCAACTATCGACTGTTGTCATATTGAGTTGATGTCGACATAGATCTACTGCTCAACTGCTCTAACTTGAATATTGTTAATACTGGTTCAGACTTATGTGATAACCTACTCTCAAGGTTAATGCATGATATACTTGTTATTATGTTCGATTCAGATCATCAAAGTGGAGTGTTCACCTCTGAAAGATCACTTATCGATCAGCGAGTTAGGTATCTCGTGATTAGATCGAGATTCGATATGCAGAACATGCAATGGCTTGGAATGTATGCTGTAATCGATTTGAATGCCCACATGAGCGAGACTATACACACCTGTTGCCTCCTTCCTCCACGTCTTCCTCGAACTTGATCCATCTGGCGGTCTCCTTCCACTCCATGTCTTCTCCGTCGACAATGAGTTCCTCCATTTCGGAAAATAGAGGGTGGCTTTCGTGCTTTTCATCGCGCACATCTTCGCCTAGGATGAATTGGACTCTTTGGGATGGAGGGGTACCTGGAACATTTCGGATTACTTCCAAATGACCAGCTGGTATATTCGTAATCTAGTGTAGAAGTCCATAACTCGATATGGATATAGTGAAATACACTAACCGGCAAAAAAAAACGGCTAGCAAACAAATTTGCCAAATTGATCGCCCTGTAACTTTTTTATTTGTTGTCCGATTTTGGTGAAATTTCGATCAAATCGTAGATTCATGTTCACTTATCGATTACAATCTCGGGAAACATCTATAAGATGATATCAATTATTTCCACCTCGTTTTTTTATCATTCTCTAGTGAACAGAAACCTTAATACCAAAGAAGGGAAGATTTGTATTTCGTGCAAAATAATTTATTCAATATTCGTAGCAGAGCGCTTTCGACTGTTAAGTCATCATCAGTGCGTACTCGTCAGGTTAACAGGAAAATTCGTCCATAAAACCTTAATTACTAGAAACAAAAGAAAAGCAGACCTTCTTGATGCAGTCAATAACGAGTATGCCCTTCTCGAGCATTTAACTGCCGTGGCATCGAGATAATCGAATTTCTCTAGCAGTCTTTAGGAATTGCCTCAAATTCTCTTTGAAGGGCGATTTGTAGATCTTGAAGAGTATCTGACAAGGCCAGACGTAAGCGAATGAGCCTCTGGAATTCATCCCAAAGATGCTCTATAGGTTCAAAATTATTGTTGGTCAAAATTTAAAAAGCCATACTTTCTTGAAACAATGTTATCTTCTTTTGAAAAGAAGACGTGAATCAAGAACCATTGTATTAAAAAGGGAAGGAAGGGGATCACAGTTCAATCAAAACATGATGAAACAGAAAGTTGGACAATGGTTCTGAAATGTGGTTATAGAAATTAAAAAATGTCATAATTTCTTCAAACACCTGTATCTTCCCTCAAAAAGAAGATTGTGTTGAGAAGAGATCACACTTCAATCCGAAACAAGGTTAGTTTAACTACTCACCTTCGCCACAGGGCGTTGAGAAGTTAAGGGTGAAAGAGTAACTTTATTTTTCCCTGTATAAAAATAGATCCATCAGCTTTTTTCAAGAATTAAAATTCAGGCTGAAACTCCGAAAAATTAATCTACGATTTGTTCAAAATTTCAGCAAATTCGGACAAGAATTAAAAAATTTGTAGGGTGATCAATTTGACTAGCCTGTTTTTTTGCCAGTGAGTGTGGTAATGTGTAATACAACCTCAAAATTATCTACACAACGTTTGGGTTATATCCTAATGGATCATAGGGACTTGTTTCGGACATCAAGAGAGCTCATCATCAGACGAGAATAAAATAGTCGTGGGGATTTTTTTTTCATGTTCTGTTGCCCACGAATAGGGATATCCTGTAATGTTCAGAGAACATCGTGAGAATCAAGGCAAATAAGGTAGGAATTGGTGTTCTTCTGACATTTCTGGAGGTTATATGCATCGAGGAACACCTCCCTTGGCTATATGTTCCAGAACCTCGCTGTTCGTTGGATGAACGAGTCTTTGGAAAGAGATGTTCTGCAGGTCTCCAAAGTGACCACGAATGGGTGCGAAGCCTCAACTCGACGGGTTAACCTCGGCTGATGATGAACACTTCAAATGTCAAAAATATGCTCCCCTGATCCTATATAGGATAGGTACTCAAAGTTGTGGAAATGGTTTGTAGATGTGATTTCGAGTTTGTCTTACACATTGCTATATTCGTATTTAGCGAAGATAGTGGAGATGCTGGTTTAGAAGCTTTTTGGATATTTTCGGCATTTTTGAAAGTTTATTGGCATTCTTCACATTCACCGGCAACACGATCGATAGTAACTAAAGGGAAGATTTTAGTTTTCTAGACAAACATGCAAATATTCTTCTAAAAATTCTAACCTAAGTATAAGTAAACGGCATTCTGAAATTTCAATAAGGAAATAGAATTGATAATGATGAAAATGATGATGAATTCAGCGTCTCCATTCTCAATCTCCTTTTCATGCTCCGCTTCATATTAAACAATAATTAACAATATAAACAATGCGATAGAAGATTTTCACTGAAGAAGATAGAATATAAATCTTCACTTTGATGTAAATAGCATCTACAAATATGGACACTATCACTTACTTTGCGTTGGTGCAAAGTGAGTTGAATGAGACTTTTTTACAAGTTGTACCAATAACTATATACCCATAAGGAATTATCATCGAAGAAAATGTACGTGCCATTATCTATACAGGGTGTCCCGAAATTACATAGAAATATTTCAACCACGCGGATTCTAGGAAGAAACAGTAAAAAAAAGTTCATATCAACATGAGCCTAAAAATGCCCCCCTGGGGATTAATAGCCATCAAAAAGAAGGCCCGATTTGGGAATGTTGAGAATTTTCCGAAATTTTGATCAAGGGCCTGGGAAATAGGTGGGGCTAGGGACATTTCTTCCCCAATTTTTTTCTATGCAATTTTCGTCAGTTTGACCAGGAAATATGAGAATATCATAATTTTTAATCAACAATTATACTCCTGTTTAGTTTCGATAACACACACCATTCTCGGGATAAATAGATTTTGAAAGTCTGCTCACGTCTTTCGATAAATTGAGGTTTTCTATTTGTTCAAATATTCTAAATCATTTTTTTTCAAATATTTTCGACGAAAACAGGCCATAGCTTTTCGGGCTCTCCGGCAAAATTTTAGGATTTTTCACTTTGACACTGACCTCATGTTTCAGTAGGGTGAACTTGTGAGAGTAAAAATATTAGCCTTCATTTTTGAGTATTTTAATTTCTATTCGGTTTTCACATCAAGTAATGTAGAATTGCAGCGGTGTCGTTGCCTTCCGTTTGAGCAAATCATTTTTATAGTTTTTTTTTCGACCATGATCATGAAGACATTATTTGAATCAGAACTTTCATGTCGGAGGAGTTTTTTTTTCTATAAAATGATGCATTTCATATACATTTGATCAAGGAATAATTGAATTACATTGAATGTTGAGATTGTTGTTCGAGAAATTCACATTGTTTGGACTGTGGATAGTTTTTGATAATGTATATTATCTCTCTCACGTGAGAGTGTTCGAAAACGAAAATAAAAAATCAGGTACAGGGTTCAGGATTTCTCAATTCCATAGATGAAGTTATGGAGTTTTATACCATAAACATGAAGTTTGTTGTCTGGACTCGAAATTTTACAAATCTAAGTCGGTGGTATGCAGATTTGATTTTTTGCATTTTGAAGATTACGACCGAGCGATTCATCTGTTGCTTCATTTGTCCATCACTCTATTTTTCTTTTGAATATCGTTACAAGAAAAAATAAACGGTAGTATGTCTCCTGTTGTATTTCGATACGAATTCATAAAATGAAAAGTGCAATTTCCAAGTTACATGCTACAGGAATATGTATAGTGAGGGCAGTTGATAATGATATGGTAGAGAATATTTCTAAAAACTACCAGTATGACTAGATGCTTAGATGTTTTGATTGAAACCAGGCGCTTATACAGCTGGTTTATAGGGGTACGTTATAGTTTTCCATTCTCAAGTAGAGAAAATTAGGTACATACTCTTCAAGGAGAACTGGAAAAAGCTGTATTCACGCCTAGATGAATAATATACCAAGAAAGAAAGACTGACAATGATGTATAGATTTGGAAACACACCAAGACAATTTCCAAAAACACTGCAGGCATCAAACATATTTTCTTACATATCTCTCCTTCTTCCGAAATACTGAGGGCTCGTCGTCTTGACATAATCACTCCTAAAAATTTGGTGATGATAAGAAAGCTTGCCGTCGACTATATACAGGGTGGATAAGAATTTGAAGTAAAACTATAACACTCAGATAGGTACATCATTCACTCATCGTGTAAATCATTTAAATACGATTTAGATTTGAATATGGACCAAGTAAGACTAATCTTTTAATAGATCAGCGTCAGCTTGTTATAAAATAATAGATCTATTGTATTCTACGCGTCGTTATATTAGTGAACGAAATATCACAATGTTAGAGCTCAGGAATTTCAACATATCTGAGTATTGTCCCATTGATAGAATCGGAAACATCTACAAAACTGATAATAGGTACCCACCTATAAACTAATTCGATGGAAAACAAGGGAAAATAATTATTGATAAGAATATTGAGAAAAATAGAGATACAGATAACATGCAGAGTAATAAAATCATAAAGTATTCCAATGATACTAGTATATAGATGAAATCCACATAATATTATATACAACGTGTTTCAGTTTGGCGCCTTGCTTTTACTGACGCCATGAGTTTCTTTAATAGCATTCTCCGTTTCCCATTCAAAATGGTTTTTGGAAAAATGTGCTCAAGCCTTCTTCTACATTCAAATCCTTGTTAAATATGTGTGTCTAATGTTTTTCCCTCCTAAAAAATTAGCCGGATGATGATTCCTAGAAGTCTAAACATGTAGCGCAAAAAAGATTTCCATTGAATTTAAGCTTTGGAGTGATATTGAGTTTTTTTCTATTACCCTGTATAATAAATGCTTACCTATTATTTCAGTTGTAAGATGAATTTTTATACAGGGTGTCCCAAAATTAGCGTGATTTATATCCAGATATGATTGATAACGATGGAAACATTTCACAAATTATGTTTTGCAACATGTAACAGATAATCGTTTCGAAGAATGTCCTTAGAAGATGAACCGCAACAGTGAAACTAACATGAACATAACTATTATTCTTTGAGATAAAACTGATTTTTCACGTTGATATTTTATTCACTTACATACTTTTTTCAAATATGATTTAACTGATGAATAAAGTGAAATCTTCATGATTTATATTTACAATCGAAGTATCATAATCATGAAAATCTCATTTGAAAAGTATCACAGATGAGGATATTCACATTGCGAAAATGAATAATATAATCATGAAATTTACATTGTGAAAGTAAGGTATGCGTAATGGAATAAAATTACAGAACTGGTACCGGAATCGCATTTTACAGAACTTATGGAAAGGGAAATAAGGTAGGAATTGTTG